AAGAAGCCTCAGTATTAATCCTTCTTCTTTTGAAAGATGCTACAGGAGGATTATGTTTATTATCTCAGTTGCACTTCATAAGAACCTTCAAATATGGTTCCATTTTATTACCCCCACTATTACAGATTGAGGATTGTGGGGGAGGGAATTGAGGTGCAAGCTAATCGGCGAATTGCTGAAGAGCCAATGTGGGTGTAGCTAAGAGTATTGGGCTAGGAGGGAGGACACCCAGGTTCAAATCCTGGCTCAGCTAAATTACCTCACAGCATTGTTTGGAGAATAAAACAGGGAAGCAGGAGAACAGAGTAGTCAGACCTGAACTGTCTGGAAAGGCAGGATGTAAACACAATAAATAAATATTGGCTACCAAGCCTGTTCATGGTTGAGCTAAGATTTGGCAGATCCCATTAAAGAATGAAGTGAAAATCGAAATAAATAAATTAAATATTTAGGGTCTTACTTTGACACCATTTTTTAATTATTTGCTTTGGAGGTGGGAATCTTTACTAATTACTCTGGGGTTTCATTGGAGTGGTGGGGGGGGAGAGAATTGGTTTTTGACCAGGGGCTTTCAGTTTTCGGTTCAGTCGTCCACTTGCATGCTTTTCCCCCCAAGCAACACCTTCCCTTTGCTAACTCTTCTTGTTTCTTTCCTGCAGTGTAAGGAAGGTGGCTTTCCCAACGACCTCTGGCTTAGTGTCAGCACAGAGAATGTGTCGGTGTACAAACGGGGAGACCCCAAACCCCTAGAAACGTTCCAGTATGAGCACATTGTCTTCTTTGGGGCTCCCCAGCCCAATACCTTCAAGCTGACAGTGGATGAGAGAGAGATGTACTTTGAAACCCCCCAGGTATGCTTCATGGAACACTAAGTTAGCCTGTTTTGTGGGTGACCACAAGGATTTTTGTGCTGAGGCAGGATTGGGTGGGCAAAAAGCATAAGCCAAAAGGCTTCCTTTTTAAAGTATGTTGCAGGGGTGGGGAACCCTTTTAGCTCCCCAGTTTGGCCACATGGGTCAGATTTGACAGGTGGGTGGGGCTTAGGAAATCACCAGTCACAAAGCTGGCAAAGCATTTCTATCTCCCTCCCGTTCCCTGAGCAAAGGAGGGTGGGGGGAGCAAGGAAGAAGCCTGCATTTGACAGATTTTTTGGGCTGCCTGTGCATGTTCCTTGAGCGGAATTTAAACCCCATGTGCAAGCGGGGGTTGAATTCTGCTCAGGGAACAGGTGTGAACAGCCAAAGAAATGCAGGCTTCTTTCTTGCGTTTCCCAAAGTGATAGTAGCAGTAGGGGTTGGGAGAAAGCAAGGGGATCCAGAAGACCCTTTGCAAGTCCCCGTTCCAGTTATATTCCATTGGCTTCTGGCCACCATCAGAAATTGCTGCTATATAACTGCTCAGTGCGTTAAGTGATCCTGACCATCCCCTCTTATCTTATTAGGTGGGAGAGATCATTAAAATCATGAAAGCCTACATCAACATGATTGTGAAGAAATGTTGTAGCATCAAATCGGCCACCAGCCTGGACAGTCGTGCGAGTATCTGGACGAGGTGATGAGGCCTGTGGTGCTGTACTGAGCCCTTGAGGAAAGATACACACTGTGTTCCAGCCAGATTTGTAGCAAAAATCCTTTTTTGTAAGAAGGAAAAAACATCTCCCTTTTTTCCTTTGCTTTGAGAGAAGGAAAAAGGGACTGATGCTGAGCACCCACAGCTGCAGGGCTTGCTCTTTAACCAAAACCACAACCCTGACTACTCTGGCTAGCTACTCAAGGCAGCTGGAGGCCAGGCTCCCTCTGGCCTCACTCTTGGAGTAAAGACCTTACTGCAGATGCAAAGTGAGGCCACCAGAAGCAAATGTGGCTACCTTTCTTGAAGAGATTGAGGTGCGGAAATATTTTGTGCAATAAAAGCAGCAGGTGGGTGGGGGAGTCTTAAATGTTGTGCTGTGATGCACCAAGCAAGATTCCCGCGTGCGCAAGAGATAGAGGCTCCAGTTAATTTGGCTGCCAAGCTCTCCAATGGTAAAGACTAAACTAACCCTTGGGGGGGCTGATGTTCGCTCAGGGATGAGCTGCTACTACTGAATATAGTATTGTGAGCCTCTCTGCTGCGTGGGGGGGGGGCGGGGGGCGGGTTGTGTTGTGTTATCAGTATTACCATCCCCAGAGGTTTAAGGTTTAATTACTTCCAAATCACAGAGTTTTCAAAGCTACAATTGTTAAAAGGCCACCACTCTGTTTGTTGTTAGCGGAGATCCTCACAGAGGCTTGTGACTCCCAAAGCAGGATCCTTATGGAAACCACCAGCTGTGTGTAAAACGACACATATTTCTTTCGGTGCTGTTCTTCCAAGCCCTTTGGAGAGGAGCTATTTCTCATGGTGCATGTTTGGAGAGTTTGCCACTTGGTAGTATAAAAAAACCCATTTCTCTGATGAGTCCAGGGGGTGAGATTTGTGGATAGATCTACATGTATCCAGTTGCAAGGAGAACAGTCCCTTTTCCCTAATCACTTTGATGCTGCTTTCCCTCCTTCCTTCCTTCCTTCCTTCCTTCCTTCCTTCCTGGAGTTTGGGCTGCTTTTATTCCTTATCCTTTTCTATAGGCTAGTTTTTATGCCACACAAAGCCTTGGGAGGCTACAGATAGTAAAACAGACTAAATGAATGGGTTTTGAGGAGGTAAGAGGAGGGAGCTGGCTGCAAAGGCGGCAGAGAGAAAAAGCAACTAGAGTCAAGGTAATTGAGAACACAGAAGGCTGAAGGAATCATCTGTGCTTGATGAGGTAGGGAAGGAACGGGGCACGGGAAGGAGTCAGATGAGTTGGCTGTACATCTCTGAATCCCCACCTGTCTGAGGACTTGCTCCATTCTCTCCTGAAGCCCTCCAGCATGGCAACTTGGGAAGAATGGGTTTATCCTGTAAGCTGCTGAAGCCCTAGGGCAGGGATGGGGAATCTGTGGCCCTCCAGATATTCCTGGGCTACACTTTCCTCCATCCCTGTCCATGGGCTGTTCTAGCTGGAGCTTATGGAAGGCTTCATACACCTGGAGACCAACAAGTTTCCACTAGGCTAAGTGCCACATTGGTCCATTGTGGTTGCTTAGAAAAGCCATGCACATAAGCCCTCCAAAGTTACTAGCTTGCAGTGGGTTGACCGATGACAGATGAAAGGCAGTTAATGCAAAATATGTCTCTTTATCCTGCTTCTGCAAGCAGTAGGAAAGGGGTAAAGAGGTGGATAAAGTATTGAAGTCCAGTTCCCAAAGAGTTCAAATCTTACTCAGCCCACCTCCTGCCTTCTGAGACATCTCTGGCCATTACCCAGGTATTTGTAAGCATCTTTTCATAGCCTATGGGGCTAGGGACTTAATTTTTTAAAAAGAAAAATACAGCCAAGATTCTCAGGATCCTAAATTCTTTGTCTACTATCCATTTCTACGTTTGTATAATTTGAGGGGAATTATATTCAACTATGCCTTCCTGTCTAAGCACAAAGGCAGCATTTTTCCCTATTCCAGGCTATTTTGGGGATTTCCACTTTCTTTTTAGGCTAGGCAAATCAAGCTGCCAATCTGCTCTGACCTACGAAGGTTGAATTTCAAATCTCTTGTCCAGCCCACTCAGTAAAACCCAAAGAATCTGGAACTTTTCCTCTACAAAGGATTATCCAATCAGGGATCTTGTTTCCACACTCCCATCCCTTTGTCCCTGGGAATGCAAATAAAGTAAGTCACACCTGTCTGAAGAAGCCATCCAGTGATGTAATTATAATTGCTTTCTTTTTTATTGAAGCGAAAACACAAAAGCCACAGTTCAGGGTTTAGCAGCCACCTCTTTTCTCCTGTAAGATGCCCACCCAAATATCCTGTGCATGTTATGTAGTTACATCAGCAAGGCTGGACAGACTGTCTCACCATTCTGTAGTTTTGAAAGAGAAACATTGCCTTAAGACACCAGACTGAGTCACATTAAGAGTTCTTACCTCTTTGTTTTGGCCCTCACCAGGTTGCAGAGTGGAACAAAGATGACTAGTGAACTTGATATTCCCTGTTTGGTCTGATACATACTAGAACCTTCTTAGTACACCTTCCTGCTCCCCAGTCCTTAGCCCTGAACTACTGCTCTGTCCTGGCTCATGGGTTGCTGCAGGCAGCTTAAACCCAATTAGAAGTATAACTTCCATTAATTCTATTGCAGATATCCTTCTGCTCTTTTTGTTTGTTTAATTTGTAACTGGATTTACAAGATGGAAGTTTAATAAATTATTGGATTGAAATTGTTTTTCTTTGTTTCAGTACCTCACTCACAGGCTCACAAGACTTTTTTTGTAGAATTCTTTCCCATTTTTTATTTTTTTCAAATTCCTTGGATTGTTTGTAACAGACCGTGCACGGGTGGAATGAACTTGCATAGCGGAACTCCATCTTCCTCTCCTTCCCCTTGCAGTCTTCCCACAATTTTAGGAACCATAGGGGCTGCAGAGGCGAGGAAAACAAGGTGGAAGTCCTGTTGTGCAAGCAGATGTAAACTTTCACAACAGTGAATTCTGTCAATTATTAGTAACAGATGACCAAATAATAATAATAATTGAGCAGAAAAACCTGTTTATGGGTATCCAGCCCATGGGCTAAAGCTTTTCACGTTTCAGAAGTGCTCTATTCCTTCCTGGGCTGCTTTATAAAATTTCTATCCCATCACTGAGGGGAGGGATTAGGCTACAGAAAGTCAACTGAACAGGGTACAATAATTTTACTTACAAGGCTGTGCCTGTGTTGATTTCCTGAGCCAACTCCTTGTTCAAGCCATTGAACAGGAGAGTAGGTATACAGATGTTTCAACTTTCCTTGTTTTCATTCTTGGAAGAAAAAGTTGCAATTTTCCTTATTGACGGCAATTCAGAGGTAAACGGGGGTCTAGACTAAGCACACCAGTTTTTAATCCTCTGGCTTCTTTTCTAGTTTCCACCAGGACCCAAAGATGCCAGAACTGTCACCAAATTGCTTTTGAATATGTTTAATTTTTATATAAACAAATACCATACACTTGAACCTGTAATATAGAAACACAATGATGATTTTTAAAAATTATTTCCCAAAGATTTTGTGTTAGCCAGGCTTGTCTTCTGCGACTGATTTGCACTAGCAGTACAGAGACTTTGATAGGTGTAGCATGAGACTCAAAGCTGACCAACAAAGCCCTACCTGCTCCAAATATAGATATGGTCCAGAAAAAAGCAGTACAACCTTTGTAGCTCAAAGACAGGCAACGTACAATAATCTAACCATTAAAAAACATAAGCAAAAACATTTTCTTGCAGTACTTTGTGGTAGAGAGGAAACTTTATTGTACAACTCTGAATTCTACTGGTGGTTATTTAGACGACCATTACTGAGCACAATCTACTGCCAAGTTCCTCAGTGCAAGAGCCGCTGAACTGAATGGGAGCCGCACAGAAATAATAGATTGTGCCAACTGTGGCGTTCGATCCCACATTCTCTGTTCACCCACTTTATCCCTAGGGGCATGTGCTAGGCTAAATATACACTGGGTAGCAAATTTTAAAGCCGCAGAAGGATGAACAAAGTGTTCCTTTCTGCTTGGTTCATGACATTTCAATTTTGATTTGGTATGGTGTTTGGATGATCTCCCATTTTCTCTGCAAGTGCATGTAATATCAGGACAACAATGGGCTGCCCTCTGGAGTAGAAGTTGGAGTGTACAGGCACACAGTACTTTGAAAACGCAAGGTGCCTTTTCCCCATGGGACACCTTGACAGCTACAGTTTTTAATCCAGCTATAAAGACTGTGCTATGCACACTGGTGCTGAAAACAGTCTGGAGGGGGGTCTGCACTGTGTACAGATGTATACTGAAGAGAGACAGCACAGACCAACAAAACAAAATAAACTGATTTGCAAGGAAAGGTAACTGGGAAGATGTAAAAAATTAAAATACATTATTATTGGCTCTGTAGATGTATTTGGTAGGAACACAAGTAATCCAATTTGAACTGGGTAGGTAAATGGTATCTCCCTCTTTTAGGGCCAGTTTCACAGTCCAGGCAAAGACTGCAATCACGCTCACCATACAACAGGCATTATAAGAGCCCATTGTCCTGACAATGCTCAGGTATGAACTCCACTGATTCTGTACCCAAGATTGGCAATCCAAGCACAAAACCCTTTCTAACAAGCAAATAACCTTGGTGGGTTGGGGCAAAGATCCTTCCTCACGGAAAAACGCCCTGAACAAGTGTTCTTTGCACCCTAAGTCTTTCAGTGAATCTGACTGTCTTTGATTCAGTTTCTGAAATAATTAAAGGGAAAAAGCTGCTTATGACGGCATGTCCACCCATCATCTTTTCCTACACAGAAGGAAGGGAAAAACTCTCTGAGCCTTTGACATGATCCCCTTACTATTGGCTGCTGCTATACTCACAGGGAAAGTTGGTGCTTATGAGGCACTGCCCTCCTGGTGTGCCCTTGGCCTTAGGTAAGTCACTGGCGCCAACAATTACCTGTGCCACTTGATGTGGCTTAGACATTTCAGAAGGTGGCAACAGTCACCCTTAATCAAAGTCACCCTTAATCAGAGTTTCAGAATATGCTGCACAGTATATTGCTCAAATATATACATTCTAGCAGGGGCTGGTTGGCTGGCCTCACCTTTTGCTATTTGCTCCCAAGCCCTACCTCTCAGAGAAGGGAGGAAGGACTGAGGCCTGTTGCTGTGCTGCATCAGTTTGGAATATTTGCTACTGGAGGCATCAAGAAGCAATATGCACAAGACTCCTCTCTCAGTCATGTACTAAAGGCCCAAAGAAATGATGAGTTCTTCATTTTAAGCAGAATTTTTTTTGAAACTGCCTCTTCCTCCAACCAGCTACAAAGCACCAGGAACAACAAGGAATGTTGACAGCAGCCTTACATCAAGTAACAGGGAAGCTGGCATTCGGCAGAGCCTCCTAGATTGCAAAGCAGCACAGGGCACCGCATGTCTATGGTTGACCTATCACAGCACAACACACTTTAACTAAAGAAGCCAAAGGGTTTCCAACACAACCACCACAATGCAGTAGGTGCAGCCTCTTTTTCCTTTAAAAAGACCTGCTGGACAAAGCATCCAACGGTTTGGTTCCTTCTTACTCAGCAATACACCATGTAAGGTTCCCTCACAAAGGGAGATGTATTTGGATCCTGGGGCATCATCCCACACAGCCAGGAGCCAGAAAAGGGCAACCTCACCTTATAACCTGCACACTAGCCAGGATGGACTGAGTACAAGCGCAAACACATGCACTACTGCACACAGAGGGCATGGCAAGGAGGAATGGCACTCAAAGGGAGAACTGATCACCTTCATGCAACTCTCATCATAAATGGCCCATTCAGCCTTGGCCCACAACATAAAGCATACCTCACAGTATCTCCTGGCAGCTCTCACACAAGCTAAGTTTCTCTCTTCATGAGGAACACAGGAAAAGGCACTGTGTGCAATGGAACAGGGTAAAGGGTCACTTGGAGGGATAACATAAGAGGCTCACACCTAATCTGGCAGACACATTCCTCTTTGGCCTGGGAAATCAGAAAGCCTTCCCTTCTCTCTCCCTCTTCTCTTTGGCAAATACTGCTATTTGCACAGAGGCAACATACTTTGCTGACAAGAAAGGGCGGCTCCCCCAATATGTGTGCAAAGGGGAGGGCCGCACTAGCCCTGAGCCAAGGAGTCTCATGGTCCATTGGCGCTGCCTGGCCCTAGAGCGCCGACAGCAAAGCCTCAGCTGTCCCGAGTGGGACAGCAGCAGGCGGCATCGTGGCTACTGGGAGAATATGCCTTTGAAACGGATCTTGTCCTCGTCTTCTTTCTGACGTAAGCGGGTCTCCAGGCTACGCAGCTCCCGGGCAACCACAGGTCCCAACGATGGATCCAGCTGCAAGACCTTGGCAAAGTCAGCCTGCGCTTCGGTTGCATTCCAAACAGCAGCATGGGCCTTGGCTCGCTTGAAGTAGGCTTTGACATTATCTGCGGGGAGAGCCAGCACCTGAGTAATGCAGGCAGGCTCCGTACACTCTGACCAGGCCCACCCAGTGGTCTATTCCACTTTCAACCAGGGCACAATACAAAGCTCCCCCCTCAATCCCAGTTACATGCAAGGACTCTCTTATTTATTTAAAATGACACATATCACACCCATCCCCCTAGGTGGTGCACCAGGGTTCTCCCCTTCTCATTTTATCTTCACAACCCTGTGAGGTTGGATAGGCTAGGAGACAGTGACTAGCATAGGACAAGGTCACCCAGTGAGCTTCATGTCTGAGAGATTTGCACCCTGGTCTCCCAGGTCCTAGTCCAACATGTTAACCACTATACCACGCTGGCTCTCTAAAACCACAGTAGGTCGCCTCTGCCCCCACATGCAGTCCCTCGCAACACAAAGTTAGATTAATCAAATCCCACAACTCCCTATTTTCAGAGCTGCTTCCCAGTCCCCACTAGGGCATGGTGTGGCCAGCAAAATGCCTTACCTTCATACTTGTTGAGAATAGAGGAGCAGTGATCCAGCACCTCGTAATACTCCTCGTTCAACAGCTTACACTGGCAGTAATTCAGAAGCAAGGGGGTGATTTGTTGGTCCAGCTGGATCCAGTCTGGGGATCCGGGCTGCTCCTGGGGTACAGGACAAGGAAAGGAGTGTGAGGCAAAGCTGGAGGATTTCAAAGGTTCCCCTACATATGAGAACAGAGGTGCCATGATGGCTGGGCAGCACAACCAAGGGCCCTGTTGACTGAAAAGGAGTGGCCTCCTGGAAGCTCTGCCATCAGAGCAGACCTTATGGAATGAAAGGCAGGGGAGGAACTGCGCTGGGAGCAGGGCTGCCCTTTATGCAGAGCCAACCCTGGCTATCAATCCACAACTCACATCTGCCTCTGCAGCATGATGCAAGGGAAGTAGGATCCCTGCTACATCTGGAGCTGACACACCCACCTTCTTAACACAAATGTGTAGACAAAAGTGAAGCTGCACTAGGGTGTGAGGAAGACGCGCCTTCACTCACCTTCATCTGCAGGTTCTTGAGGCAAGCGATGGCATCGTAGTACTTGGCAGCTGCCTCCTGCACTTTGCCTTCCTTGTAGAGCTCATTGCCTTCCTGGTGGATCAGGGGCACGGCCTTCACTTTCTCGTCATCGGACATGGCCCAAGGATCTTGCCGGTATGTGCCAGGAACTTCCACCTAAGCGAGGCACAAAGGCAGCAGGCTGGGTTAGTGGGGGCAATGTGAGCACTGTAAGAGCCCGTCTGACTGTGTGCCTTCCGCATCCCAGGGTACAGGTAATAAAAAAACAGTCTTTGATGAGATTTATGAAACTGGGAGGAAGTGAGATAATAGGAGGGTTCTCAGTAGGCAGCTGCTGCTTCATCCCTGTGTGGTACCTTTAAAAAGCTAGCAAAATCATCTCATGTACGTAGCCAAGAAAATAAAAGCGGAGACCAAGACAGATCTGTTGGGAATCAGCTTTCTCCTCCCTTCTTGCACATCCATACACCCACATACAGGAGAAACTCCCAAATACACAAGAGAGCCATCACTCTCCTGATTCTGACTGTCCCAGAGGACCTCACCTTTCCTTCCCCTCACCTTGAGCATCTCAATGGCAAAGATGAGGGGCTGGGGGTTCTGCTGCAGCTCATCGAGGTCTGGGTAACCCAGGGAGTGATGCTCATGCATCTGAGCAATGCCACAGCAATGCCGTTGTCCCTCCAGTGGATCTTTCCCAGCCGCAATGTTCCTCAAGCTCTTTGACACCATTGGGTACAAGACCACATGCTGGAGAGAAAGAAAGAAAAGATCAGGCATAGTCCTTCTTGCTAGGAGAGAGGAACCTCTCCCAGGGAATACCATCAGCCCCAAAGATATGAGATAAAATTTTGTGCAAGTGCTGAAATGGTGTGTTGTCTCTCCAAAAAGAACAAATCTGGCATTCCATCACCTGTGCCAGATCCAAATACTTACCGTATTTTTCGCTCTATAACACGCACCTGACCATAACACGCACATAGTTTTTAGAGGAGGAAAACAAGGGAAAAAATATTCTGAATGAAACAGTGGACGTATCATTTTTGTGCTTCATGCTGTGGCCACAGACATGTGATCTGATGGTGAATTTGGGGTGACCCAATGCAAAAATCCTGAGAATCCCTGTGGATCCATGCTTTGTAACCACGTTTTTGCACCATTGCAGCCCCAGGCAACAGTGGGTGCGTGATTTTTTTGGGGGGGACAGGCTGTAGCCATGGACATGCTATGTGCTCTGATGGTGAATTTTGGCTGACCCAATGCAAAGATCCTGAGGATCCATGTGGATCCATGCTTTGTAACCACGTTTTTGCACCATTGCAGCCCCAGGCAACAGTGGGTGCGTGATTTTTTTTTGGGGGGGGGGACAGGCTGTAGCCATGGACATGCTATGTGCTCTGATGGTGAATTTTGGCTGACCCAATGCAAAGATCCTGAGGATCCATGTGGATCCATGCTTTGTAACCACGTTTTTGCACCATTGCAGCCCCAGGCAACAATGGGTGTGTGATTTTGGGGGGACAGGCTGTAGCCATGGACATGCTGTGTGCTCTGATGGTGAATTTGGGGTGACCCAATGCAAAGATCCTGAGGATCCATGTGGATCCATGCTTTGTAACCACATTTTTAAGTGGGGAGGGAAGGAAAAACACAGAAAGGCTAAGAATGCAGGAGAGGGCTATAACGTGAGGAAAGGAAGGCAAAAGTTTCCCCCCACCCACCCACACAAGCCAGCCAGCGTGCTCTCTCTCTCTCCCTCTCCCTCCCACCAGCATGACAGAAGAAAGCATTTTAACTGCATTAAGAACTATTTAGCAGCGAAACCTAAGCTTTGCCATCCCTTAAGAGGTACAGACACTGTAATCTTCCAGATCGCATGAATTTACAGGCAAAACACTGTTTAAGGATTTCATCCTTTTAAATGGAAGAAAGCATATTTGAATGCTGTGTGTCTCCAAAAACAAAAAGCAGGAAGTCAAATCAGAATTTTAAGCCGAACCTGTAATCTCTCTTCCCTTCACAAACATTGTTCCCTCCGGAGCAGGGAGAGGATAGAACGAAGGACGCTCTGCTTTCCTCTCTTCTTGCCTGGAGGGGAGGGGCTTTCCCTGCTCTTTGTTCCGTTTGAGCAAACACAGTAACGAAACAGAGAGGCTGGGCAGTAAGACCCTGAGGCAGAATGCAGGAAAGCTGCCACTTCCTCTCTCACGGAGCTCCCTTCTCCCTGAAGCGCGGTTTGATTTTGCCTCATTTTTCGGCTCCAGGGACCACACATTCGCTGCATAACACGCACAGACATTTCCCCTTCCTTTTTAGGAGAAAAAATCTGCGTGTTATAGAGCGAAAAATACGGTAATTGTGAGTTGTGGAAGGAGAATCCTAAAAGTTGCAGCCAAGGAAACTCCAATTCTGCACCAAGAAAGCATAAGTATGTGTTAGGGAAACTACAGATGCCAGGGCTAGGGAAGAGACCTCTCCTTGCCTGGTATGTCTAAGCCACTTCCCACACTAGACCAAGCTAGCTTGCAGCAGAAGTGGGGATTCTGGGTTCAAGTTAAAAATAGGTATATAGAAAGAAGAGTACCTGGATGCCAAGATCCAAGTTTGAGACACGTACTGTTTAGTGAGAGAACCCCAGCAGATTTAAAATAGCAAAATATACAGCAAAATAAAGTGTGGAAATATAAGTTGTTATAGCTTCATAATACACCCTTCCAAGCTCCTTCCAAAGTTTTCCTCCTCCCCTAACATAGAAAAAGACCACACATTGGGTAAGTTAAAATTGGTTTACTGACTTCAAATGGCTTCATAAATTTGCACAGACACTAACAGTTGGCTAAGTTACAAAGTGGTTAAAGTTTCTAAATGATTGGTCTAGGAACTCAAAATAGTGGTTTGTGAGAGCCATGCTGAGCTTCTCAGGTAGATGTGTGTGGAGGTTAGAACAATAGGCTTGATGACCTAAGGGGAAGTGACCTAAGCAAGCCTGGCAAGAAAGCTTATTCTGTGGTATTAACCCTTTCATGCATTAATTAAGACTTAAGAATGTTGTTTCTATGATAGCTCAGTTGGTAGAGCAGGAGACTCTTAATCTCAAGGTCATGGGTTTGAGCCCCACTTCCTGCACTGCAGGGGATTGGACTAGATGACCCTCGTGGTCCCTTCCAACTCAACAATTCTATGAGGCTGATCATCCCACAAGGATTACCTTTGTGTCACACAAGAACTCAGCCATCTCTCCCTCTCTCATGGTGTGCAGGATAGTCTCCCAAACGGGCAGCTTGAATTTCTTGCCAATGATGAGCTCCATGGGCTTCTCTCGGGTACGGCTGTCATCCAAGACTCGCTGGTCCGGACTGCAGAGCAGTGTGCGGTAGTGGAAGGTCACCTGAAGAGAAGGGGAAGCAGAGTGGTTGGATCAAGGGACTGACGTGGTATTACACCAACTTCTAATATGATGAATAAAGCTAATAGCACAGTACATTGCCCTCACTGTATACAAGTGACAGAGTTAGTGCAATCAAGCTCAGAACAGAGTTTGTAGAAATTTCAGCTTATTAGCTGATCCATTCCATGCACTGTAGGAACTAGACCTTTAACATGGTGGTACCTACCCTATGAAGCTCCCTTTCATGGCATCAAGCAGGCACCAACTCTTTCATCTTTTCGGTGCCTATCAAATAACCTTCATTTTCTACAATAAGCCTTTCAAGTGGAGTTCCACCCCACCCTCCTGTCTGTATCTGTCCTTGACATGTGTGTGTACACACACACACACATATGGATGTTGCTAAATCACTTTGGGATTTTATATGGGAAGCATTAAATAAATACAAATTTGATTCTCAACATCCATTTAAATAACTGGTCAAATCAACAGGCAAATAGATACAGAAAGTCCTAGACCAGGGTTGTAAACAAGCCCAGAAAAGTTACCTAACCTGCAAAAATGTTTATTAGCCAGCTGGGGGCTGGCAAAGAAAGAGTGGAGAGTTGCAGTACCAAGCTGGATGCAGAGGAACAGAGCACTCCATTCCCTCCTCTGCTAGCCCATTCACTCACCTACATGCAAGTCCTGGCCACCCATGGCTACGACTTAAACACAAGCCTGTACCAGCCCACTCACCATACCATACTGCTATGCGGGTGGATTGAGCAGCAGGTCTCACAAGCTACTGAGCCAGAAGAAACTGTTATTCATGAAGCTGTAGGGGAATTATACAGCAAATAAAAATAACTTGTTTAAATATCTCTGTCCCCCAATTTCTCAGGCAGAGAATAAAGGGGGGGAGTTACTGCACTGGGAAGTGTAAATGCAGGAAGGGGCTTCAGCATCTTATAAACACAGATCTGCTACTAGCTGAAGGTGGCTTAGGTGACTTTTATCTCAGGAAGCTACTTTATAGCAGATCAGACTATTTGCCCCCTAGTTTAGGGTTGTGTGCTCTGACTAGCAGCAGCTGCTCAACAGGGTCTCGGGAAGAGGAGGCCCTTTCCTCTCCCTTCCTATCTGTTCCTTTTAATTGGAGATGCCTGGTGCAGAATCTGCATACAAAGCACCTGATCCGCTACTCACCTATGGCCCTTCTTAAAGGAATAAAGGTTTCTCTCACGCTGGGAGAGAAGCAACACACACGTCAAGTGTCTTCACTATCCAATTATGCAGATTAATCTGTAAAGTGTTTACTGGTAGCACAGATGTGGCTTTATCCTATTTTAATGCACATATTCAGTTTACAAGCACCAAGTCTGTTCTCACTGCAAATATGATCCTGTTTTGAAGGTTGGGACAGGGCCTCTTGTATCAATCGATGCTTTGGGGAACCGCCGACCTTCTGATCGGCAAGCCCTAGGCTCTGTGGTTTAGACCACAGTGCCACCCGCGTCCCCCAAGCAGTGTAAACATTTTATTTAATAAATAAGACCCCCCCCATACTTCCTTCCCCCCCTCGGGATTAACCCGTCACATATTCGAAGTGGACTGGAAGCACAGCTTACAAAATGCACATATATGGGCGGGGTGGGGGAAGAATCCCTCCATCTCGAAGGCAGGAACGAATCAGCCTCGAGTTAGCACAATTCTGGATGTAATAAAGCGTGGGTAACGAACTCTACTCACAAACCCCGCACCCCACTATCTTCCCCGCGCACGCGTATTTTAGCCTCCTCGTGCGTCATCGCCGCTCGCTTGCGCATGCGCGTTCCTCCGGCCCCGTTCCGTTATTTACCTCAGCCCCGAAAAACCGTCCTCTCTCACCTTGGTACCATCTTGGTAATCTGGTTGGGGCCCTCGGCCTTCCTGCACCAACCGCTTCTGGATGCCATCCGCCCGGAGCTGCTCGACCTGGTCCGCCATGATGGCTCCTCGCCCGAGTTTTGCTTCGAGGCAACCTTCGTGCGTCTCCGTAGCCTACGGATGAGCCGCCGAAGCTCCCTTCGGCGGATGCCGGATGTCGTCGGTTATTTCCGTATCCGGCTTCGGACGCGGCTGGCGGCAGCCGAAGTCTTTCGGAAGGACTCGGGCTCAGCCTCGGCTGGCTATACTTATTGTAAACAGAGGGGCGGGCGGCGCTGCGTTGCGCGGATCTGGGCTCTCAACTCCTGTCCCAAGTAGCGGCCTGAGCCCAGTCTGCGCCTGCGCGTTTTTTCTTTACGTGCCTGTTGCGTCTCCCGAGTCTGCGGTGGAGCTCCTTGCCTTCGTACAGGAGCTACGGAGTCTGCAGACCACGTAGTAGTTATTGTATACTGCTAATCGGCTGTTGTAATACAAAAAATGTTAATACTTCATACAGTGGGTATAGCAGAGCAACGTTGCACACAAAATCCAACATACTGAGAGACCTGCTAATACCAAGGTTACAGGTTTGAATGATCCTGGTATGAGTGCATATTCCTGCATGGCAGGGGGCTAGACTAGATGGTTTTCCCAGTAGTGATGTATGGAAGTGATTGCCGAAGAATTGATGCTTTTGAATTATGGTGCTGGAGGAGACTCTTGAGAGTCTCATGGACTGCAAGAAGATCAAGCCTATCCATTCTTAAGGAAATCAGTCCTGAGTGCTTACTGGAAGGACAGATCCTGAAGCTGAGGCTCCAATACTTTGGCCACCTCATGAGAAGATAAAACTCCCTGGAAAAGACCCTGATGTTAGGAAAGATGGAGGGCACAAGGAGAAGGGGGGGGCAGAGGATGAGATGGTTGGATAGTGTCCTCGAAGCTACCAGCATGAGTTTGACCAAACTGCGGGAGGCAATGGAAGACAGGAGTGCCTGGCGTGCTCTGGTCCATGGGGTCACAAAGAGCCGGACACGACTGAATGACTAAACAACAACAGACTAGATCAGGGGTCAGCAACCCGCGGCTCTGGAGCCGCATGTGGCTCTTTTACACCTTTGCCGCGGCTCCGGGGCGGATACTAGCGAGGGGAGGAGGCGCATTGTGCGCCCCGACACTCCCCACTGTGGCGGGCACTGTACTAGCTGTGACGTCACATGGGGGCGGTGCGTGCATTAGTCACGCACTGTCCCGACGTCACCTTCCCGCCCACTGTCAGATCGGAGGACAGCAGCATGCATGTTTGCGGCTCCCAGTGTTTTTTTTCTTCGGAAACGGGTCCAAGCAGCTCTTTTTGTCTTAAAGGTTGCAGACCCCTGGACTAGATGATCCATGGGGTCCCTTCCAACTCTGATTCTATTATTCTATGCTGGGCTAAATGTAAAAAGAAATGCCATATCCTGTTTCTGCTCTAGGTCACGAATACTCCCTTTCTTAATTACAGAAAATCTAAAGGAAGAAGCCTTTCTCCCCATTCCCCAACATCTGTTTTCCTTCCTATTGGTTTGCTAATCCAGAAGTTCTATTCAATGCTTAACACCCTTGAAGACCATTTTTGACAGCTTAGGGAGCTGTGTGTTGTGACAGGTTAGTGTGTTGGCTGCAGCATGTAGGTGTGTCACATGAACGCTCCCCATGCTCTTCCTGAGGCTGGAAAGGGGTTCATTTATGTCTAAAAACTGTGCCACCAACATGAAAAGTTTGGAAAGCTCTGCCTTAGTAATTGCACTTCGCATTGCATCTTTACAATGCAATCCTATATGCTCCATTGAGTTCAATGGAAATGACTTCCAGGTACATGTGCCTAGGCTTTGTCAATTTCCTCAGGATAGCTAGATTGCAAATAAAAGGGTGGTGATTAAATTATGAGTGTCTGAGTGATTACAAAAATCATGGGAAGTGAGTGAACTAAAGACAAAATATAATTATGTAAGAATTTTGCATATTTACATTTTACATACTATAGTAGGATTGTGTATACAGTAAAATTGATCTTTTTATTTTTGTATATCCACACACGGCTGATATTTTCACTAGATAGATGGATAGATATAATACAAATACATTGTTGTGCACTTTTTAAAGTAAATAAGGGCCCTTCTGAGGCTTTGCTAAACATGTGTGACCTTTGGAGAACACCCCCCACCTACATTGCATCATTTGCAGCCTTTGTTCTTTTTCTGATTTTGTCCTGGTCCTCGTTTGTCCTAGATGGCTACTGGCCATGAATTTCCCATTTCTCCAGCTTCAGTTTTTTCTTCTTTGTTATTTACAGTCTCCTTCACCTTAACTAGGATGTTAGGGATGTGTGTTTTTTAATAATTAACCAATAAATAAATAAAAATACACGTTTGACAGGGACGGGGTAACTGTTTCCAAGCTAGGTTGAACCATTTTCCCTGTGGGCTCAGAAAATGTGGGAATGAATCATTTGTCTCTTGCATGAGAACAATCTGGCAGAGGACTCTCCGCCTTCTCACTTCACCCCTAACCGCCTCTGATGACTGTGTAGGAGACTGACAAGAGGACTCTAGCCCTTTCCATTGTACCTGGCAGGTAAGAGGCCCTGCTGAAGAGAATATTTCCTTTCCCTTTTGCAAGGTCCCCAGAACTGGATCGAGAAACATCCTCATATCATTTTGCAGATGGTAAGTGCCCAATTAAGGAGGAGATGGGAGGACTACAGAGCTCCACACACCATGATTAGGTATTTTGGTGTTTTTAGTTCAGATCTAAGCTGCCTTTCTAGCACTGACAGCTGCTGCTTCTCCTGCTAGGTTTTAATATGATAAGTTATACTTTTGCTTTTTGATATATTCAACAAGGTTGATTTCTGCATATCTGGGTCTTGCTTCACCGTTACAAAGAAATCTGATTGTGCCAAGGGTCCACACTGGAGCTAGAATCTTTTATTGACTGGTGTAGGGTTGTCAGACACAGAGGACAAGCACCTTGTACCTTTAACAGCTGAGTGAGAGAGAATTGGGACAGATGCCGTTCGTTATGGAGAGATAAGCAGAAGACGCATTGGCTGATGCACACATGCCCCAACCATGTGCAAATAGTAAAGGCCCAGTACCCTAGCTCTAAGGGCATTCCAAGTCCTGTGCTTGGCACTTGGGAAACACTGAACACTGCCGTCGATGCTAGCGCACCTGCAGAGATGTTATTCCTGCATGAATGTTGTGTGACAAATGCCAGTGTAAATTAACATGAAAGGCAATCAATGAAAGACTTGCATTCTGAAATTTCTCCAGAGTGATCTGGTGCTTCCTTCCTCTACTTAATACATTGTCCTCTTTTCTTCTGTTCGAGAGCACTTGGGAGAGTTTAGGGGGGAAAAGATGCCATTTGATTTACTCTCTATTCCAAATGCAGGAAAGTTGGATGCAGAGTGCTACCAGCAGAAAGGTGGGTTAATATAGAAGCAGGGGCATAGGAAGGGGGTGCGGTCCGCCCCGTGTGTCATCCCTGAAGGGGTGACAAAATGGCACACTGTGGGGGGCAGCACTTACTGTGGGGCCTGGCCTGCAGTGCGCCTGAGCCACACATCTCTCCTGGGAGTGACGCCGTGGCTTGGGAGCCTGCACTGACTGAAACAGCAGCATGGGGCTTGTGTCTGCCAGGCAGACACTGTGGGCAGCTTGCTGGCCACCCCCCTGGGTGGATTGCTGTGGCGCCCCCGCCATTCCGGGTGCCGGAGCCGCTAGCTACGCCCCTGCATTGAAGTAGCTCCAGGTGATTCTCTCAAACAAATGAAAGGGAAGGCCTCAGGAACAAGCTAGCTTGCTAGATGATGTCCCAAGATGACTTAGTCAAAAGTTATTTTGCCTTGGACTTTGAATTCATCAGGAACTCCTGACTCTGTTGAGACAGAACCCTGTTACTGATCAAGCTGTTACTAACCTTGAATGCACTTACTCCAAAACTTGTTGTAGGGCATTGAATCACTCTCATCAATTTCCAAGTGCCCAGGTGAGTCCACCTTTAAGATTGGGGTGTGAAAGGAGGCACAGCAGTGCCATTTTATACAGTTCATTGTCTGTGTTCTATGGCATTTACCCAGTCATATGACCAAGTAAATCTGAGATCTGCATGAGTTTGACCAAACTGCGGGAGGCAGTGGAAGACAGGAGTGCCTGGCGTGCTCTGGTCCATGGGGTCATGAAGAGTCAGACACAACTAAACAACTAAGCAACAACAAAGTCTGAGACTGGCAAAGTTCTACATCCCAGCATCATTAAAATGTGTGTTGCTTTTTCTGCCATGGCAGATTTTTGCTGAAAGGGAAGTACAAGGGAAAGTGACATCCTTTCACCCCAAGCACCATTGGTCTTTGTCTTCATTTCTGCAGCATCTGCAGGCCCAGCCTTCCCTGAGGATGCTGGTGTTAGTCAACAAGGATGAGCTTCGAGTGCTGAAGAAAGAGCTGAGGAGCTGCTTCCCCGAATCTCTAAAGGTGAGATGGCATCCTCCTCTGCTCTTTTCCAGGCAGATGCAGAACCTCTGCTTGGGCGATGAATCCAACCCAAAGCTTAATGTGAACACCACCAGGAGCCCAGTCTGTGACAGATACCTCTTCAATCCAAGAATCTGAGGGAAGGTAGTAGTGGTTTCTTTCTTATCCTTTAGAGCTGGAAATGTCAGATCAAGGAACTGTACTCTGGGCACAAGGGCTTTCCAGAAAATGGCAGATAAGGTTGGGCTGGCAATGTCATGACTCACTGTTGGCTTCATGGATCAACTGACCACTGACAAGGTTAACAGCAAGGCTGGCCACAAAACTGACAGGCGACATTTGAAAGAAACCAGGAACACATCTGAATTCTTTTAATGCTCCCGTTTCTGTTATGTCAAGATAGCTGAAATGGCCCTGCCGTGCCCCCTCCCTCTTGTCCCACCAGGTCCATGGGGCTGTGCTGAACGTGTGCCAGGGAAACGCTTTCCATCAGGAGATACTGGTAGATTCCTGGCCCAGCTTCCAAGTGGTCATTGCACGGCTCCAGAGAGAGGTATTGCTGAGATGGGACACCTAAGAGAGGGATGTTTGTCTTGGTTCTGTGAGTAGCATCAGCAAAGGGCTTGAATTGTGAGGACGAAGAAAGCACTACCAGTGGGAACAATCATTTTGCATGTTAGCCTTAACCTCAATTTAGTGCTGATAGCTTGATAACTTGTACTTATGCTCTCATAGTGTAGGGGTGTGGTGCATTGTTGCTGGGGCAGCAACATGTCTGCCCCATTATTTTTAAAGGGGGATGATGCACACTTTTACCCAAGGGAGAGTACAGCCACATACAAAGAGTCATAGTGGGGAAGATAGGATTGGGAGGTGGAGCATTCCTGGTGCAGGAAATTATCTCTTGCCAGGGTGCCAACAACACCCCAACAGGTGCCTAACTCCTTTGCACAAGTACTTTCCACAGCACACTCATAAATGAGGTACAAGCTGGGGCATATTTTCCTGGCAGTGAAATATTGTCAGCTGAATGCTAGGGAAATGCTGTTCTCTACATCAGATATGCTAGTGGGGGGAGTCATTTGGGCCCCCTAAAACAGAAAAACTGCACATATTTTGCATAGTAACACTTAGTTTAAAACAAGGGTGGCAAACCCCCAACCCAGAGGCCTGATCAGATCAAAGACCTCCCCGATATTGGGAGCAGGAGCAAAAAGGGGGGAGAAATTTTTTAAATGATGAGATTGATCATCTGAGGCTGGATGCAAATTGCACCTCAATCATCTGAAGAGGGGCATTTGTCACCGATCAGATGAGCAATCTGATGTGTGCTTTCTGTGGTTGCCTATGTCTTGCAGAGGGTTTGCTATGATAAAAATCTTATCCACCCGTTTTAAAGCTTTTTAAGCCTGCTCTTTAGATGAAGACTCCTAGGTGGGCTAGTGTGTGCAAAGGAATGACCTCTTCCCATCTTTCCTGCTTGTTTTTGCCTAGAAAGTGCCTTCAGAAATGAACTATTTTACCCAATCTTGTGCAGTTTTCTATAAGGACCTAAATGCCTATGAGAAATTGGTGAAAGATTCTGATGCCATTGATTGGAAACAAGAATTCTTACTTCAGGGTAAGACACCTCAACACCCAAAGTTCTGTGCATGTGCCAGTGCTACTAATTTAGAATTCTTAAAAAAGGAATATTGTATGCACAAGTTTTAAGAGTGTGTGTACTTTTCTAAACTGTTTCAGCACTGGCATATACATTTAGAGAAGTGTTATTGTAACCTGTTCTACATCTGTGGAAGAAAATCTTAGTTTTGGTGCTGCTGAAATCCTCTTCGCTAGTCAGAGCAAGGTTTACTTGAGGTGATCACCGTTTTACCTTTCCCATAATCATATAGAGTTGTGGTCTATGCTTCTGCGACTTCTGCCCCTCTCCTCTGAGCACCTCAATAATCCCCTCACCATTTTCCACACCCAGGTCTGCAGGATGGTGTGTATCAGACATCTCAAAACCTAGCAGCTGCCAAGCATTTCTCCGCAAAGCTGGTGACTCGGACCCAGGTTTTTGTTGTGCAGAAACCCTTGAATTTGTCTTCTTCCACACCCACGTATGTCACGCTCTATGACTCAGGGGTTGCAGGTAGCAAGCAATACAAGGAAGGCAGGAGACATTTGCCAGTGCACTAGTAATTTAGAGCATGGTGCCCACTCACTGGAGACCTGTAACAGGGGAAAATATGTGCAAGAGGAAATAAACTCAAAGCCAAGAGGTGACTCTTATGCTAGGCAGAGTTATCTTTTCAGGAAGAAAGGACAAGGACCTTGGCAGTTGTAACAGCAGAAAGACTCCTCAATGTTTCTGATTTTTTTCCATAATTCAAATAAGAGATGATCCCTGTTTTTTACCCAGGTACTCTGCACATGCCCAAGGACACAAGCAAGGTGATTAGGAGCAAGCACAAACAATGGCTGGCTAGTAAGCCAATGTTTGTGGATCTCTGTAAATCATATTTGTAGGCTTTCCAAAAGGCAGATACTTAGTAATGTTTATCAGGGCCACTGGATAAGTCCTCTGTAAAATGGGAAGGGGAGGACAGGACATTCAACTGGGCAGGCAGTGAGGTTAGAATGTAACATCACTGTTGATAAATATTACAATAAAGGATTGTGCTTTCATAGGGTTAATATTCCTGAAACATTTCACCTGTAGAGTGGGATCAACTTACCAATAGCTGTCGTTTATACTACTATGAATCCACTGGGCTAATAGCAGCTACACAATGTAATGAGCTCCTCTGTACTAAACCTTTGCTGGCTGGCACTAAATCAGGCTTCCTCAAACTTGGCCCTCCAGATGTTTTTGGCCTACAACTCCCATGATCCATAGCTAGCAGGACCAGTGGTCAGGGATGATGGGAATTGTAGTCTCAAAACATCTGAAGGACCAAGTTTGAGGAAGCCTGTACTAAATATTCAAGATTTAACTCTGTTGCAGCAAGTACAGCAACAAACAACATTGGTGGCATTTAATAGTCTCATAACAATGCCACTCATCATTCCCTCTTAATTAATTTTGGGAAAATGTAGCCCAAGTAAGGAAGTCAGCATAAAAACTGGGTCCCTCACTAATAACGGTAGGGAATAAATTTAATAAATAATAAACTAGCTAGGGCCTACCATCCTCCATGACTAGAGATCAAACAAGCACCACCATGTGCTCATAGATCTAGGAAAGCTACAGAGGGCTCAGTTACACTTTTTGTCATGTTAACCTTCAGGTGGTTGCAGGGTATCCCAGCTCCATCTGCAGACTTCAAGCTTGACACTTGGGTGCTGGAGCTGACTGGTTCATCGTGCCTTAAGTGTTACTTCTGAAGGTAGGCCTTAACCTTTCTTTCCTTCTTCAGGTCAGGATCAGAGCTGAAACTCTCATCCCTCAACACCGCTCATGCTGCCCTGCTGAATGAGACCTGGAGTGTAGGTGGCAATGAGCAGAGTCTCTGCTATCTGACTCGGCTAATCGACTGCTTCTCTAGTAGTTGCCTTCTGGATGCTGGAGGATGTCCTATCTCTTGGGTCCTGCTGGATCAATTTGGGTGCCTGACCCATGCTTACACCATGCCAGCGCACCGTGGCAAAGGCTACATTCAGCTGGTGATAGCAGCACTAGGCAGGAAACTACAAAGCCTCAATTACCCAGTCTATGGTGATGTCCTGGAAAACAACACATCAATGCAGAGAGCCCTACAATGCCTTGGAGCGAACTTTACTAGTTGCTTTCTGTCCTACGACCTGCATACACCCATTTCTCTGCTGTAACAGGCTATTCAAAAGCTCTGTCAGTAAAAAATAAACTAGTGGTAGCAGAAACAGATGGTTTAAATGAGAAAATTCCTATATATACATTTTAAATTGTATAAAGTTCAAGAACTAGGTTCACATTTAATAATCTGGACACAAGCACATTGGCCCCACAGTTAACATCTAAGCTGAATCAATACCTTTCCAGCTAAAACCGATTAGATCCAGACCTCAAACAAATAGCCAGCAGATGAAGGATAGATTTGATTTTCACCGATTCCATCTGTGCTCCTGGATGAGTTGCATCCTAGGGTTGCTGGGCCACCCGAGGCCTACAAACTCCCAGGCTTCAGAACAGTATCATGACAAATCAAAATGACTGAAGGAAGTCTGAGAACTTTTGACAGGTTTGAAGCCTCCAGTTGGCTAACCTAACAGTGCTGCTCCTTGTTTATGCCCTTACAAAACATTACTGTAGACCTCTTGTAGAGGCTCAGTAAAGTAATAGAAGTGATAACGTCTGTAAACAGAACCTTAAATGAAGTATTGGGAGAATCGCTATGTGCAATCGCTGCAGATAACTGTTAAGGCATGTGCTATACAATATTTGACTTCAACACCAGAAAATTCCAATTAAAGTATATCACATTTGTAAAATGCACACAGTTTGACCTGAGGACCAGCAGATGATACATTGGGCCAGAGTCAACTAACTGGTCCCCCATCAGAAGAAGCCCACACAGGAGTTCTGCTAGCACAATAGGGCTTTCTCTCCATGCCATGTGCCCCCTGAAATTGGCTCATAGGGTGGGAGGTGTTGAGAGAACCCCAAGAACAGCATGTGGTGGGAGGAGAGGAGAGAGTGGTCTGTCTGGCAAGCAGAAAGAGTGAGAGAAGAGTGTGAAGCTCAATTCTTCCCAGAGTTTCTAGTATTCAACGCAAGAGTGCACTTCCCGCAGTATACCACAAGGGCTACTGTTGGGAGCCCATTTCTCATACCTGTTCATCATTGCTGAATGACAGCTTCAAATAATAACTCAAACTTTACTGATACCAAGGAATAGCTACATTTGAGCAAGTAAAAAGTATTATCTGGGGCATTAAAAAAAACCCCACAAACCCAACAACCCTGTAATAATGCATTTAGCTGTTCTAGGAGCCAAGAACAAGAGGTCCTACCTAAGCTTGGGGTAACACACACATTGTCTGGTACAATGTTAATAGTTTACTGGAAAATTGCACAGGTGTCTGTGTGTACTCTTAGTACTTGTGGGCAATTCTCTGCATCATCTTCACTCCTATCCTCTTTATCCATTTAGACAAGATGTTTCTTACTCCAGATCCAAAAACATCTGAAGGGCACAACTCCCATCCACCCCAGCTAGCATGACTAATCAGTGATGATGTGAGTTGTAGTCCAAAATATCTGGTGGGTACCATATTGATGAAGACCAATTTAGGCTCTTAGAAATGTAAGTATCTTACCTGTACTACTGGCCCCACCAGCATAGTAGATATGCAGCTGCTTTTGCATTTCATGACATTATGTTCACCTATGTTCATCACCCTAATTCATATTCATTATCATCTATTTGGTCACATACTAGTGCAGTTTGATCCATTCATCCTCCAAGAAATGGCGGCCTTGCTCCAATCCACAAACCAACCAGCCCCTAAATGCCATCTAGAGTGAGTGTAAGATAAGAGCTAAGAAAGAAGAAAAATGTGGCTGGAAATGTAACCCCCTTTTATAGTTTGCAAATGAGTGTACAAAATACCCCTGTCTAAAAGCTACATCTTTAGGCAGTAGACAAATACGGCAAACCGCCACCTCCGTCCCTCACAAACCCAGCATTTCTTTTTTGGAGATGGTAATGTGACGTGAGTAGCAGCAACCGTGCTTTTTTTGTGAAATCATGGAAGGTCCAAGAGCAAGTAGCACAGATCGTACAGGAATGAGGACAGGGGGCTAACTTCACCCTCTTCTGCCTTAGCTGGCTGGTTTGTACGAGAACAAAAGCCTACAGGAATTATGCCTTCTGGTTACACTGTCTACAACTTTATTAACAAAGAATGCTAATAGAGACTTTCCTAATAGCATACTGAGTTAACACGTCACATTCCGCACTGCCAGTGGTTTCACGGTCATGCTTTCAAAGAGCAATTTTGCTAGGCACAGACACATAAGAACTCTCCTCTTCTAGAACCTCTTATGGCCAATAGACTGCATTTGACACATTTCAATCCTCTTGGAAAAACACTTTCAGAAGACAGTTGCTTTCTATCTCCCCCTCCCCCCCAAGGTTTGTTCAGAACCCCTGAAACAGTAGCAGATGAGATGCAGGGACTTGTTCCTCAGAGTGCCCCAACATTTCGGCTGTGGAGGCCCGATTCACAAATTACTGTGACCACAGAGAGGCCAATTTAGATCACGATATGGCAGCCGTCACTGTGTGGGAGCCTTGTGCACACCACCTCTTAATGGCCAGACTGGGTCATTTCCACCACAAATCTGACTGCTTGCAGTGGCTTGATTGGGTATGGGGAGGAAGCCTGCCTAATCCACATAGTGAGCATCTGCCCTGGAACACCCCCCCACCACCATGCAATGGCAGTGTGGAACCATTTCAAGCAACATTCTCCGTGGTGGCTATCACAAGAGTGTTGCCAAGGAAATTTAGAGGCACACTCCAGATCTGCTTGGTGACAGCACACATGCTTGATTTGCCCACCACAGCTTCCATAATGCTTAACTAACTCCCTGCACAGCCAGGCAGGGCTAGCAATTTGCCAGCAATCTTTGCATGCCTGAATATAACAAAATGTTTGAAGGGGAGAAGGCTAAGAGCTGTACTGTCTGGGGACAGGAGGGAAAAAAATATTGGTCCACTTTCCCCCAGCAACCCACAGTAGTCCTGGGATGGTACCATCAGAAGGTAGGAGCTGGGGAGAAAGATAGCATTCCCATCAACACAGACATCAGTGCTCTCGGGAAAAGGAAAAGAACTCTCCACATTCCCAACAGTGTAAGCCGTCTTTTTTTTTCTTCCTCTGACAGGGGTAGCTTTCCTGTCATCCTTGCCCCTGCTGCCTTCCACCGATCTGAGAGACAGAAATGAAACTCCCCCCATCACACTTGTCATTAAGTCATGCTCACAGCCAGGTCCATTGCCCAAGATTAATTTGATTATTTTTCTTTTTTAAAAAACTGTATAGAAATCAACACACTGCCATCATTCTGTGCATCTGGAGCGGCCGCAAGAGGCCCAGGGCTCAGTGAAATCTCTTCTCTTCCCACACATACCGCTTCCCTGCAGGCACCTTCCGGAAAAACAGGCTGTTCCCTCTGCTCATGTTACCCTGAAAAAGGAGGCATGAGAGGGAATGTGAATAGAGACTGAGACTTTGGGGACAGAGGTCCAGCATCTTGCCAGCAACAAATACAGAGGGGTTTTTCCTCCCCAACTGAGGGTCAAATTCTGTCAGGGGTAATCTTTTTTAATTGGAGTGGGGGCAGAGTCTCTCTTTCTCTCTTCTTTCCTGAAGAAAGAGAGCTTGGAGAGGGCTCCCTATTTCAAGGCTCTCCCAACCATAAAACTAAGCCCCAAGAGATGAAGCTTGCCCACCCTGGAACATGAACACTTTGTGTGGCAGCTGGAATGCACCCAGAAGAGGTGAGGGCACCCCAAGCCACACAGTGACATCTTGGTCTGGCATCCTTGCTTGGAAGGATGGTACACCCAACGGCAGAAACCCCTGGAAGAATTGGAGAGGGGGACTCTGTATTGCCAATTATTCCTCTCCCACCCACATCAAGGGCAAGATGCTATGGTCCTCTAATGAAAGGGCAGACAAGACAGACATACCTCCCCCTGTAGCTGGCTCCAGCAGTGTAACCAGGACGAGTAGGCTGGGGCATAAGGAGGGAGGCCACCAGCAAGCCTGAAAAACAGTAAGAGACCAGGGTAATTTACCAAAATGGCTCACCAACAATATCCCATGTGCAGAACATCCATTTCTAGTTTCATAGTCACTTGGGAAACAGTAGCCCAGATGCAACTTCTAGACTAGAGCAATTACTTCGAAGAGCATTCAGGCTGAGCTTTTATATTAAAAAAAGAAAGAGCGTGAGACAGGTCTGAATCAATGAGCAAAGCAAAAGGTCTGTCCCTTCTAGATAAAAATGCATTTGTACACCTGCAGTTCAGGCTTGCAGCTGGCGTACAGCTTCCGAGTCATGTGGCCAGCATGACTAAGCCGCTTCTGGCAAACCAGAGCAGCGCACGGCAACGCCATTTACCTTCCCGCTGGAGCGGTACCTATTTATCTACTTGCACTTGGCATGCTTTCGAACGGCTAGGTGGGCAGGAGCTGGGACCGAACAATGGGAGCTCACCCCATCGCAGGGATTCGAACTGCCGACCTTCCGATCGGCAAGCCCTAGGCTCTGTGGTTTAGACCACAGCGCCACCCGCGTCCCTGCACATAGCCATAGTTAATGCTTAAAACCATGGTTTAATGCAAGTTTAACCATGGTTTATTGTGAAAGCGCAGTGGGCTCAGAAGTCCTTACTTCACTTCTCCTCAGCTTCTGTCTGCATGGGGAGCAACAACCCACAAATCTTGGCTTGTTGTGGCGTCTGAAACACAAGGTTTGTGGTTTGCTTCTCTCCAAACCAAGCAGTAAGCCCATAACATGCTCATTCACATTGACTATGGTTTCATGTGATGCATGAACCAGACCTATAATTTAAGTATTTTCTCAAGAGACTCCACAGTTCTCAACATCCTGTCTCCTAGTGGCCAGAAGGTACATCCCAGTGTCTACCCCAGGTTTCCTCAACCTTGGCCCTCCAGATGCTTTTGGCCTACAACTCCCATGATCCCTAGCTAGCAGGACCAGTGGGTCAGGAATGATGGGAATTGTAGTCTCAAAACATATGGAGGGCCGAGGTTGAGGAAGCTTGGTCTAACCCATCAAACAATGAAAGAATCACAATTTTCTACCTCTGCGTGATCAGACTCATAAATAAAATCAACACCCATAAATGAATAATAAAAAAAAGCTTGACAACCACGGGGAGAAACAGGACAGATCCCTTATTTTCTCTTGAGATTGGAAATCTATTGAATAGACCTGTAGTGTCCACATGAATTTAAAAATATTTACTGGATTTGCAGATGACCACAAGATTGAAAGCCAGGTTCAAATTTTTAGAAGTCCTTAGCTGCATCTCCAGCCACAACTATTTTGAACATAGGCAGGGCGCAGTGAAGGAGATGGCTCTTTGACCACTGAACTTTTAAATTAAACCCTTAAGAGCTATTCTAGGAGACTTTCCATGTCAGATGCTTTATTTTCAAGCTCTGTGGGTTGTGGTACCTAAACACTGAAAAGCAGCTGCTGAAAATATGAAGAGAACAGATGCGAGATGCAGCACATTGCTAAAGCTCTCATTGCTTCATGAAGGAAAGGGACCTGACAAACCAAGACTAAATGAGACTGAACTGCTTGTATTATACATTTGAAAACACACAATCAAAAGCCAAGTTAGAGAAATCAGACTCTGCACTTACCCACAACTATTAATGGCCATCAGGTTTGAGACGAGTACAAAGGGGTAAGTCAGCATACTGGCAAAGAACTGCAGATACAATACAGCAAAATACACCAATGAAAAGAGTCCCCAAGCCCCACCCAGCTGATGGCCTCTTAATGGCAGAACCTTCTTATAGCTACAGCAAATTGAACAGTCACCCTGTAGTTGCAGGGAGCATGCCTTAAGCTAGAGAGAAGCTCCACAGGGCAGTGAAGCGTTATTGCAGTCGCAATTCTGTTTCAGGACAGGAGTTCACAGCAATCACGAAGCAGATAAAATGAAACGGCTGGTAATTGTTCAGTTTAAGCCAAACAGTAGTTTGAGCCAAGCAACAGCACCTACTTAAGAGCTCAGCACTAGAGATCAGACGGATCTCAGAGGTATTGAACAGAGATCCTGAGGTGTACAGCTTGCAAGGCTTCTTGAAGAGGACATCACCAGCACCACCCTCAACTTCAGGATGAAGTGCTCAAGCCTACACTCACATCCTCAGGACACAACCCGCCCCCTTTTCCCACAGGAAAGAGAAATGAACTGTACACTCACTCCAGTGACAGCCTGAGAATAGCTTTTCATCTCAGTCATGGTGGAGACCTAGAAAGAAGAGAAACAAAGTAATTGACCCCTGTTCCTCAATTAAGAGTAGTCATTCCCAAATCCATCATAATCCCTGCACTGGAGCAAAATCTGAAGGAGCTGCCTGAAATTACTAGATGTAATGGAGGTAGCAACACACAACCACATTCAGAGGTTGGGGACAAAAAGGATATACAGTGGTACCTCTGGTTGTGAACGGGATCCGTTCAGGAGGTCCAGCCGTATCCCAAAGTTTTCGCAACCGGAGAGACCGCTTCTGCACATGTGCGTGCGGCGAAACACTTCCAGGGTTTGCCACTTTTGCAACCTGAAGTTTATGTTACCTGAGGGTAACGTAACCTGAGCTTCCACTGTATTGCTCAGGAGGATGTGCAGCAGGACCACAATAGGGACCTTTGAAGCTGAATAAGGCTAGGGGAGGAAACCTTTCATACCTGCCTACCTGAGCCCAGCATTCCATTGTCCACACCCCATATATCACACTACTTGTAGTCTACTTACCCCATTCTCCAGTGCATAGGTATTGATGAGGTAGGCCAGCATGTTACAGAGCCACAAGGACAGGATGTCCCCAAGCAGGCGGGGAATAAGGCCCCTGGAAAAGGAAAAAAACCTGATAAGTGAGGCCACATACTGCCTGGAAAAAACACCTTACATACATATGCACGCTTCCCTCCAGTGTGTGAGGCAGAAAGTCTGGCTGTATTTCCATGATGGGAGGCTGATCAACTTTAGTGCAAAGAACAATGTTACACATTATCCCAAGAAAGATCACAGTCTGCTTAAGAAAATCTGGGCTGAATTAGACCAAAGTTTCAACTAGTCGAACATTCTGCCTCCCATGAGCTCTGGCCATAATTGGACTCGCCCTCTGTCCCTCCCTGTTCCCCATGAACCAACAACTATGGCAGGTACAAAAGGAAGTTCACCCCCCCCAAGCAAATACTCACGCAAAAAATCCCAAGATGCCCTCTTCCCGGTAAATGGTGACAAAGGAGCTGAACACCCCACTGAAAATTAAGAAAGAAATTCATTTACTCTCAGAAATCAAGAAACAAGTGGCTCTCCCTGACCCCCTCCCTGTTTTCAACTTAAACGATGACAGGAAACCTCTGTGCTCACACACTAATTGCTCCCTGGCCTCTTTTTAAGTTCCTCCTACAAAAAAGGCATTGGCCTTGTGGGCTAAAGTCCAAAGGAAGCCGCCTGGTCACAAATATGCACATACCTGTACTTGGTCTCTCTGCCAATGAACTGCACCATACACCTCAACGTGATCACTGAAGGACAAGGACGGAGGGAAAAGGGAAATGACATCAGCAAGGATCCTCCCCACTCTCCTTCCCCTACTCAGGCCAACACAGGAACACACGACTTCGCCGCTCTCCTGATTGAAGCTTAACTCAGACAGGACAGATATGCCCCTGGTTCGGGAACAGGGGTTCAACCACAATTAAATGGAATAGAATGCCCCTTGAAAATTCAGGCCATGGTAAGGAGCTATGACCTTGGATGCCCAAGTGACAGCTGTGGCCAGAATGCCTTTGCCTAGCTGACACCAGTGTGCCAACTATGCCCATTCTTGGTCACGACAACACTTGCCTCATACACATCACATTTGGATTACTGCAATGCTCTCTACGTTGGGCTGCTTTTGAAAGCTACAATTGGCAGAATGCTGCAGCCAGCCTGTTAACAGGGGCTGCGTACAGGGACCATGTGACCCCCTTACTGAAACAGCTGCACTGGCTTCCAGTGTGTTTTGACTTATTTTGTTAAGGCACCTTCAGCTGATTAGGAAAAACAGAGTATAAATGTCATCAGTAAATAATTACATATCAGATAATTGATCAAAGCCAGCACTGTGCAAGATGGATACCCAAAGCACAAAAAACAATGACCATGAAGGGACCTGAATGTAACAAGGAAAGGCTGGTGAATGACTTTCCTCTTTCTTGTTGCCAGGGAGGTAAATGTGTGCTGGCAGTGACCAAAAGGGCTACTGGCCCCTACTTACCATGAAAAGGGTGGGTGACTAGGGTAGCAGCAGAACGTGCAATCATCTCTTGAGAAGTCTATGACCAAAAGGAATGGCAAAAACATCAGCAGAAAGCCAGCCAAGGAAATGGCAAGATTTAAAATGACAGAATGCTCCCCATCTGACCAGGTTCCACTAAAGCACCTAATGGCTGTCACTTAGTGTGAGTTACAACTCGAAGCATTTGTGCTAAGGAGCTGCACTTTGAGGTTAAAACTGAGTTTATAATTGCTCTACCAATCAAAGCTAGTTTCAGCCGAGCCACAGGTTTCAGCTCATTTAGAGACAGTGCTTTGCTCTATTATCACGCTAGGCACAGACTTTCCAAGTGCATCCTATTGCCCACTACAGCACACTGGAAGGGCTCTTTCTAGGTGCCTCATCTCTCTAGTTCTAGGACTTCTGTGCATGGATGTACACTCCCCTTTAAACAGCTTGCAGACATCCTGTCATATTGGGTGGGATTCACTTAACAAACCCATCAGCAAAAGCCCTGCCCAAGGGCTTCTGCTTGTACAATGTGCTTTTCCCCCAGTCTCCCCCCCCATGGAAGCCAATGCAAGGATTCCCACTCACGTAACAGGACTTGCCCTCCCTCTCCTCCTGCCACATCCTTCTAAAATCTGCTCTGGAGGATTGAGAGAACCCCCAGGACAGTGCACAGTGGGAGGAGAGAATAAATTGATCCTTCGGGCAAGCAGAACCCTCCTTAATGCTGGGTTAATTACAACCCAATATTGCATGCCTCTGTTCACTGATATGGAACAAAACTGGCAGGCTGCAATGTGGGACACTTCTGCACCATTGCCAGGCACCAACCAAGGGCCCCATAGGCTCTAAAGCAGCCTTTCTCAACCTGTGGGTCCCCAGATGTCGTTGAACTACAACTCCCATCACCCCTAGCTAGCAAGGCCAGAGCTCAGGGATGATGGACGTTGTAGTTCAACAACATCTGGGGACCCACAGGTTGAGAACTGCTGCTCTAAAGGGTTCCCCACTGCCTGACTTGTCTTTGCCACCCAGTCATTCACCTCACACACCCTGCTGCTCGCCCAGCATCTTTTAGCAGCGAGTAGGTGGCAGTGCCTCTTTTGAAGGGGAGCCAAGCTTGGCTCCTATTCCTGGAGGCTGCCCATGTTAATTTATCCAAAACACAATGCCTGATCAGTTCTATCAGTGAACAGATTGTCACCATTCAACCCTGGCACCTGTGCATGTGAAATCCTAATACATCCCAGCTTAGCCCATGACAAATGAATCCATCTCTTACCTCCTTAACAACTTGCTCCAAGGAGGACGAGGATTCCTTGGGGCTGATCCCTGGGTCCTGGAGAGAAAAGTGAGCATCAGAAGTCATGGGGTGACGGCATTTCCAGTGCTGTCTGTAGAAGATATCTTGTTGTGCTGTCTAATTCTGGATGGAAGATATTCTGGAGAACCCCAGAACTCCCAGAGAATGCACTACACTACATACCATCTGATACAGGCAGCAGCCACCTCCCAATACCCATGAGCTCAGGGAAGGGAAATAGAGGAGCAATCACTTGGGTGGGAAAGGGAGAAGCAATTCATGCAAACAAATAAAAGCTAAGAACCTACTTACCTCAACTTGATCAGCTTCCTGGCAGTGCTAGAAGTAGGAAAACAGAGAAAAATGAGCCCATGGCTTATCTCCTCATTCTCAGCATTTTAAGCATACGTAATTGTCTTCACATTCACTTTCCCATTCCCACGATTGGATTGCAAGAAAAGGTGTCTAATAAATTTAATTAATAAGAATAAGAATATTCCATGCTTCTATATTCAGGTAGGTAGCCGTGTTGGTCTGACACTGTCGAAATATATAAAATAATAATAATAAATGTCCAGCAGCACCTTAAAGACCAACTAAGTTTGTTCTTGGTATAAGCTCTTGTGTGCATGCACACTTCTTCAGATACAGTGTATCTCAAGAAGTGTTCATGCACATGAAAGCTTATACCAAGAACAAACTTAGTTGGTCTCTAAGGTGCTACTGGACAATTTTTAATTTTTTTATATATATTTCAATATTCCATGCTGTCTGTCTCAAAAATGTCCTCAAGATTGTTACTTGAATTATTCCCAATGAAAAGAAGGTACATATTACTTCTCATACTCTTATTGCAAGCCAGCTGAATTTTTGGGAAAAAGTAATACATACTATATTTTTCCATGTATAAGACTATATTTCCCCCCAAATTTTTAAAGTTTAAAATTGGGGGTCGTCTTATACACAGAATGTTTAAAATATTTATTTCTTAATTTTGGGCTGAAAAAACAGGGGTCCTCTTATACATGGGGGCATCTTATAGATGGAAAAATACAGTACTTCTGAAGGATTTTCATATACCTATAAAAACCTGCATGTTACTCTGCAGCTATTATCCCACAATATGTTCAGTAATTTCTCCAAGATGTATTCTAAGTCAACAACACTACTTATATATCTATGAGTTATATTGGATTCTTCACAGATTAATTATTGAAAGCAATGTGCATTTGAGACATCTGCCAATCTAGTTCTTCTGTTTAACTAAAAGCAGAGAAACAGCCTTAAAAAACTGAAACTGCTACTTACAGGTTGGCACAACCAAGTGGCCACAGTAGCAATCCAGGCAGTCCACAGAAAACAAGGCTAAACTAAATTTAGATCAAAATGGTGCATCCTATAAATAAACAGTTTTGATGCTTAGAGACCTGATTGTATGGTCAAAACCATGTGTCGTATCCAAAATAGTAGTTCTGTTAGTGCAACAGAACTTCATCTCACTCTCCTCACCCGTGCACCCTCCCCAAATCTGCTTCAGAGGATTGGGGTAACCCCCGGAATACATTTAGAGGATGCATGGGGAGAGGAGAAGGAAGGGAAGTTCTGCTGCACAGCCAGAAGCCCTTGCACTAGCAAAATACTTTGCTGGAAACCACCCCATGAAACTGTCAAGTATCTTCCCATTCACTCTCAGCATCAATCACAATAATTATTGGTAGCAACCAAAAAGTCTGACTTGCAAATACCTTTATTTGGAACTGTTGTTGGCTTGGGCCATAAAATGCCAAGCTATGCTTTGGTGCTCTAAGAACAAATTTTGTCTGCCAAGGCTTTAAGCTAGTTTACAACCCCTGTGTGAATGCTGAGTACATACCATAGCCTGATTATTTGAATACAACTGGAAATTTGGGCTTACACTGAAGAGGATGCAATTTAATGAATGGGAGCACACAAGAGAAGGAGGGGAGCAGATAAAACTCATTCAAGTGATACATTCCATGTGGAAACAGCCCACTGTGTTTACTAAGGCTTAATCCTAGACAACTACAAACACCCTCCTCATATTTGCCATAGCAAGCATTCCTTCCAATCTCTGCTAAGCCACAGAACGCAACTTGAGTCTAGGGAAGGCGGGAATAATGCCTGAAGTTGCACACTGTTCTACAGGTGTTCCAAATAACGATTTTCACTGCCTTAAAAAGGCAACTAACACCTTATTGGCATGGCTTAGCAGGGCATGGCTGACTTTATCAGATTGTGAAATGTTTAGCATACTAATGTTGCTATAGAATAAAATTATATAGTACCTGTAAAACCTTACTGTGCACTATAGTGCCAATAGCTCCTGAGCAGAGTCTAGGAGTCAAACCTTTGAAGAGTCCAGCCCTTCCATCAATCTTCATTATGTGTTTAGCTGAAAACAGAAGTCAATACAGATTAAAGGATCATACTCAACATTGACTCTCACCCCATTCACACACCTGCCTAGAGGAGATTCCAGCACTCAAAAATGTGTTTTAAAAAAAGAAGTTAGGGATGCAAAACTATTTAAAACTCGGCCTATCCCATGCTAGAGAAGACCGGGCCTGATGCCAAGTTAGAAACTTCAGTACAAAGGTCACGATACACAGCTGCAGGCATAATCTCCTGCACAGCAAAGCATGCTCATGTCCTATTTATTTGAGCATGCTTAACTGAACATTGGACTACACTTAAAATAATGTCAGCATGCACCAGAACCCGGCTTGCCCTTCCCAAACTCTGCCATTCTCTACAACAAGGAGGGAAAGTCACAGGTTTCCCAGATATTGCCAAATGGTTAGGAAGTTGAACAACATCTAGAGGGTCACAGCTCCCCCATCTCTGGGTTGCAGTAACAAGTTACTTGTTAATGATCCTAAGTTTGAGTAACAGTGTGCAAGAAAGCAAGCAAGCTCAGAGCCAATAATATACAAGTCGGAGCATGAAGTGTGGCATTGCTGGGACATGCACATGCATGCACAGGATAAATCATATGAAGGATACTTGAAGGGCAATAGGCTACAGGAAGAGAGAGGCTCAGATGCCCAAACATTGTAAAAAGGTAAAGGTAAAGGTACCCCTGCCCGTACGGGCCAGTCTTGGCAGACTCTAGGGTTGTGCGCCCATCTCACTCAAGAGGCCGGGGGCCAGCGCTGTCCGAAGACACTTCCGGGTCACATGGCCAGCGTGACATCGCTGCTCTGGCGAGCCAGAGCCGCACACGGAAACGCCGTTTACCTTCCCGCTAGTAAGCGGTCCCTATTTATCTACTTGCACCCGGGAGTGCTTTCGAACTGCTAGGTTGGCAGGCGCTGGGACCGAGCAGCGGGAGCGCACCCCGCCGTGGGGATTCGAACCGCCGACCTTTCGATTGGCGAGCCCTAGGTGCTGAGGCTTTTACCCACAGCGCCACCCGCGTCCCTTGCCCAAACATTGTACTTTCCTGTTATTCTAACTCTGTCTCACTGCATGAATTCAAAAGCCAATGATCATGGCTGTAGCACTGAAGCGTCTTAAGAGTTGAGACTCACCACTTTACCTATATAAACTGCCACTGTGCCAACAGTTGCAGGATCTCTAGCTAATCCTTGTACACATGAGAAGCTCTGCTTCAAAGGCATAGGCACCGCCAAGTGCAGTGCAGCAATTACAGCAATCCAATCCTGCTTTAAGTCTTTCTGGCTCATTCACAAATCTTATACATTATGCACTCACCATAAGCAAAGAGACCAGGCAGCTGATAGACCTGTCGCCCAAAGATATTTCTTCCCAGAGTTGGAGGGAGGGGTTCATATCCCACCTTCAAAATAAAGAGACAGCCTACAGCAACCTCTACAGTGTGAACAGCACCCCAAAGAATAACCCCAACATTCCCTAGCAGTGAACAACTACGGCTGTTCCACTCACTGGACACTTGAAAACTGAACCATAAGAGAAAATAGGATAGATTTTTTGTTCTTCGAATTCTATGGCTGTGCTACTAACTGTAAGTTTAAAGTTCTAAAACCACCATATTCAGAAGATGGTAACAGTTTGTAGCTCACATTAAATGTCTGGGTGGTCTGCAGTTCAGCAGAAAGTCTGGCAGGATCACTGGATACCAGGTGCCATCTCTTAGTGCTATACATATATATGTCTTACTAGTGATTGTCATAAGATGTTCTGGGAATCTTTTTGGCTAAAGAACAGGAAATAAATACTTTAAATAAAATTTGGCGCTACAGACCAAACATATATCCCCACAGACGCTGCACCATATTCCCCCACTTCTTTGCTCCAAAGTGATTCCCCCCTGCATTTTTTCCAACCAGGTAAAGTTATTTTAAAATGTTTGTCCTTGATGTGATCTAGGTGACTCTGAAGATAAGTTTGCTGTGATTAAATGTTAAACAACTAGTTGAGAACATGGAGCTATTTTGCTTTTTATGCTGTGAATAGCCACTTGACTTGTCACACTATATCATACTAGGCAACATGTTTTCCATAGTTTATAACTCACATTATCAAGGTCTGCAATTTAGCAAAAAGTTTTACGGACAAATTGGACACTGTGTTTCACAAGTCCAATTTACCAAAGAAGACAATGTGCTTTCTTGGCAGAGGTAGGCGGTATTTATTTTTGAGATAGATATCCCACTACATAGCTCCACATATCCTCTGTGTAGTGAATCATATGAGAACCACTGTGAGGCTAATAACAGAAAGTCTCACAATTGTCCTTTGCCCTTAAATTCTGAACCTTACTTTATAGGAATTTGTGTATCCAAACTCCGAAATGCTAATGTGCTTCCCATTCCTGCATTTTTTATTAGAAGGTGGATATGCAGGCTGTTAAATATTTTAACAGACAGGGCTGTTGTACCTGGGGCAGCTATGCTTTTCAGCCAATGACGATACGAGTACAAAGCCACAGCTGGCCAAAAGCAACATGCAGCCAAATATACTAAATAAAGAAGTTCTTGAGGCTGGAACTACTGGGAGTGTCCGAAATGCTACCAATAAAAATGAGAAGAGGACAAATTTGAATACGAGGCACACATAAAACCAGCGCAGAAAACTGATCCAGATTCAGAAATCAGCCAGGCTCACAAAAACATTTGAGTGAGGTATGCCAGTCTGAAACTGGCTAAAATTAAACATTGGCTTCTGCAATGAGGGTTGTTCTGTGGCTAGCACTGGCAATTTTGTTCTCTCAGGAATGCGGACACAGCAAAGGCAGCAAGCGAGAGAAACGCAGTGTCTTGGATCTGATTTTAACCCTCTGGTGTTACCGGCACCGGTTGCAAATCCCACTGCTAGGACTCAATCTATATGGCTGCTACTGTGGAACTGGTGGTTCTGGAAGCCCCGTGGATGCAGTGGATCAGTGCTGTTTCATTCATGACTGCTGTTACCGCCACGCCAGGGTCTCCTTAAAGTGTCACCGCAGGGTAAAGTGGCAGCGGTACAAACTCTCGTGCAACGGATCAGAGACGGAATGCCAGTCCACGAGTATCTGCGGCAGGATGGCATGCGAGTGTGACAAGCAGCTGGCGGAGTGCTTGACAGCAGCAAAACCCCGCAGGAAGCATTCTTTCTACAACAGGGAGGCTCTCTGCAAAGGACCCAGGGACCCTTGCCCAGCCATTCACCGTAACTGGACTGAAATTCTACCCTGGGGAAGTCTTTCCCCACGACCAGTCTCGAGGGGGTCTCGTAAGTAACCATTCAACTCTGGAAGAGAACAGGCTGCGGCTGCTGATTCCCAAGGGCTCCCCTCGCCGGACCCACCTCAACACCTGCGGTTCTAGGCAGCGCAATAAAGAAAGACTCCAAAGCGAAGTTGCACTGCAAATGACAGCGCCTGCTGTTTGGATGGTGCGAAAATGAGGAAGCGCTTCCCGCGTCCCTACGAGCGGCTTTCTTTTTCCTCCGCCGGGGCGGCGGCGCTGCTGCTGCTGCTACGCCTCGGGGCAGGGAGGCGAGCAGCCGCCGCCCTGCGAAAAGGAAGTCTGAAGCAAAGCAAGGCCCGAATACGACCCAAGGCGAAGGGCGACTCCGCTACTTCGAGGGGCTGCTGGCTACGCGGGGGGGGGGCGCTGCCATGGAAACGCGTTTGGGAGAGAGGAGGCAACTTCTTCCCCAGTGAGCGAGGGCGGGAGGCGACCTGGGGCTGCTTTGACCTCCTCCCACCCACTCAATGCCGCCCCCACGAGCGAGGAAAACCTGCCAGGACTGAAGGCCTCACCTGCACGAGCACCTTCACGTACATGAGCGGCTGCGAGAGCACCGTGAGGCCGGAGCCCAGCAGCATCTGAGAGGCCGTGTCCACCATGCTGCAGCCGCGCCGGGCTCCGCCGAGGGGGGTGGGGGGATGGAAGCAGAGGCTACCGCGCCACCTCCACGTGACCTGCGGTAGAGGAAGATACGGCTCGAGCCGCTGCCTCCACGTCCTTTCCCTCCCCTCCCACTCCAACTACTTCCGGTTCCAGCTAGTCCCTGTTTCCGCCACTTCTAGAGCGCGATAGGCTAGCCTATGGGGGGGGGGAGCAATATTGACAGTGACCTGCAGCCTGAACTTCCGGTAAAAACCAACCAACCCGAAAGCTGATTCTCTATGGTCGCCGCTCTATAGCTTTGCAGCTCGGTGGTAAAAAGGATCAGAGTACTGTATAGAACTGAAGTGTCAGCGAGGTCTACGGTGGTACACAACTCTACATCCCCCCCCGTCCCATTGAATTTCTCTTGGCATTTCTCGTCGTGCTTCTTAGATCTGTTTCTGTCAGGCAATAAGGAAAAAAAACAGGCTTTTGCGTCACACGGTAGGTGGGCTAAGAATCTTCTGACCTAAAGGTAGGAAATTGTAGATTGTGTATCGGAGTAGCCACTGCAGAATGGGAAGAAGCTGTCGCGAGAAGAGTACACTATCCGCGCCCAGTTTTAGCTACATAATAAGTCATTGGCAGGCGCCGGATGTGTAGTAGAGGGCATTGAAGTCGGGAAAGTCAACAAGTGTTTAATATAGTTTATTCGCCAATACGTTAGGTTTTCAGCAATCGTTAGGTTTTCTTCGCTCTGTGTACCATTAGATGCTTACCAGTTAAAATGTTCATGGCTAATGAAAACTCAGGGTTGTTGTTTTTCTTCTGCTTCCATGCCTTCCTGGCAGAACTGTAGTACAATTGACATTGACTACAAAGGACTTCTTCAGTAAGCATTTGCAGGATCACTTTCCTAGTAGAAAGTCAAACTAACTAACAAAGCAAGCGCTGCCGCTGCCGCCGCCGCTCTATTTAGTTTGCAATTCAAGTCTCATCTTACTTTGGACATCCTTGCTCTCAGGGAAGCTGCCTAGACCAAAATCAAGCATTCATTTAAAGTGCTTTAATTATTACCCAGGAATTTTCCACATTCGGTTAATATGCAATACTACCAAAGCAAGTAATGCTTCTAGCATTTCAAAACTTCCAGCTTGTGTTAGAGAAGAGCTTATGCATTGTTGCTCAGCACCTAGACTCTTGTGCAGTCTCAAAATGTAATATCCTTTCAGCCCATCCCCACTGTAATTTTCCCTTCATCATCTCCCTTTCCCACTTTCCAGAGAAAACCAAGCCTTGACTGTTTAATTTTTAAAATGTTGCTGGTGCACATGCCTGCCCTTTTACAGAAAAAAACTAGTTCCCTCTCATTCTCAGAACAGCAGCAGCAATAGCAACAAGGAAAATGGAGTGGACAGGTGAAGTATTCCCAATGTTTTGAAGCCAACACATCTCTCCCATTATTTGGACACTGAAGGAAATTTCCAAGGCACTTAAACATAGGGAAGAAAGGCAGGAGGTGACAGTGAATAAGGTAAAATTATAGCTGCATATAAGGTGCATTTTAGTTCAGATATGCTTTCCTGCCAGAATAACTGGTTAAAAAATATATGAAATTGTACTTTTCCTAGATTTTTTGTGTATTTTGGGACAAAAATAGGTAGTGAAAGAGTTACTTGACAGAAACAAATTGTAGCAGATGCTAAACTAGTAGATGCTAGTTTAATACTAAAGAGAGGAAGAGGAAAATGTATGTAGATTTGCCAGTCTGTTTCTCATTTGCAGTACAGACACATATTTAATGTGAGATTTCTTCGTTCCTTCCTGGATTATAATCCACAATCTTCATAGTGAGAATAAATTATAGCTTAATGGTAACACAACTGACTTGTTTATAACAGGTCATCAAAGTTTACACCCGAGTGGATGGATTCTTCACAGAAATAGTTTTTAGCTACATTGTGCAAAATGAAATATCATTCAATAGATTTCTACATAAATATGTTCTGTTTGGGTGTGTTTTAGAACACTAACAATTATTTTATGACAACTGAAAACTTAAAAAAATAGAGTTGCACCTTCAGTACCTTTACTATGCCGTTTAATGTTCAACAAGACATACTTTTCACTCACAAAGAGTAACAGTACCACTTTAGAGGTAAAAACGCTACAAAACCTGTAGCTGAGTATTGCATTTTTTCCCTGTGTGGTTCCAACATTACAGCAACAGAATTGTTTCTGTTATAATTGTGCCCACTGCTACACAATCATCTATTATTAATTCAACGTAATAGTATTTCAGATATTCACCCTTCATCATTAAAATAATAATAATTCATGTACACATTTGATAGCAAACTTTGGGGGGGGGTTACAAAAGGAAAAAAATGGTAGAATGACATGCAACCTCAGTAAATGTGAATTTGGGAAGTAATGGTGGAGGGCTGGGGAATGCGTGTCTGATGGTGGAAGTGGAATTTATAGAGAATTAGCATGAGGGAAAGGCTGTTTAACCCCTCACACTCACTGAGTCATCCTATGCCCACTGGATCTTTCCCCTCTTCTGATTTTTGACCCTGACTTGGTGGGGAATAATTAAAAATAGCCATGTGAGGCATCTGCAGAAGCTGCGGGCAAGGAGGTTCAGCAGCTCCTACCTGCCAATACTTCCTTGCAAGTACTTCCTACATATTCACTTTATGAATAAAATATAGGGGTGGAAATTATGTGTTCTTCCTGAAATGCATTGTACTAACCAAAGGTCTTAACAGGGGGAAAGCTTTGCCCTTTCATATTAGCTAATCTCAGCTACAAACCTATAAAAATAAGACAACTGAAATCTCCCATCCTCTTTATCAACACTCCAAATTCTCTCATCATCAAAATGCAGTAGACTTTGTGCTAAACATTTGTAATAGGCCTGCAACAGGAGAGTGCCAGCTTTCCTTCTAACAAATTAACTCTTTGTGAGTTATTAAAAGTCTATGGCTTCATAGGAGGGCACAAGATGTTCCTTGTGCACAAACTTTGCCTTTGGATTACCCTCTCTGTTCTTCAATAATGAATATTTTTGTCCAATCATGTTTGGAGTTCCCCTGACTTTGGCATGATGTTCATTTTCAGACTTCAGAACCATGTAGTCAATTTTGAGTGGTTTCCATTTGTATTCTCGGTAGGGAATAATCTGTGACCTGCTTTGGTTCAGATTCCACAGGTTTTTGTTGTCAATAATGCTATGAGATTTCAAAGAAAGACTTCGACGCAGCATTAAAGTCACAGAAGGCACTTCAGGATTCCACCACATGGACCTAAAAAAAGGGTTGGGGGAGAAAAATAGTTCTTTTAAATAATTAAATTTCAAATAATGTATTGTAGATAAAAAGTGGTATACAAGCACTTGTAATTAATTAATAAATTGAGAGTGAAAGAAATTCATTTCACAAAGGCTTATCCACAACCTAAAGGTATTAGCATTTCATGCATTTCACAGCAGGAAAATGTTAGTTATCAGGGTTAGACTCTTAACTTGAGCAATTGTATTTAACAATGTCTGGGGGGCATTGTTTGTTAAATAACAGTTGCAAGGACCCCTGAATAGAAACAGGACCACAGTATACAGGGAGGGGAGGGGAAGAGCTTCTCCCTAACAACAGAAGCAGTTTCCAGGAGCAAATTTCATTTAGACTGCAACACAGTAGAAAATGGGCCCTACCATGGTCCTAATCCCAACAAGTTTCCAGCGGCCATTTAACAAAAATCCTGAGACAAATGCAATATAGCATAATAAAGCATGTGGTTTGGCCTTGATTTCTGATTTTCATTCATGTTCTAAAAGATGAGAGAATACAATACAGTGGTGGTTGTTTTACCAAGCAGGATTAGCAATCGCTGGAGTGCTGACAAAGATTACTGGTACTTTTGTGTGTCTCAACCGAGTAGCCTTTTATTTGTTGAATTATCATATAGCTCAAAGATAAATGAAGAGCAACTAGCCAAGGCTACTTTCCAAGTTTCACCTTGCATGAAATAGAAACTACATCACACCACACATTAGCCACCCAGCCTCAATTCACCTAGTTTAACCTGATTATAATACACACACACCAGGCAACAGTCAGTGAGTACAGAACATGCCCTTTACACAGCCTCAGGATGTAAAGAGCATTCACATCACACTACACACATAACTGTAAACCTAACACCATAAGCGTCTTGTGGCCTCTTAAACACTAAATAATTCCTTATGGGAACAATGCATACACATGGTTTTCTTGGGGTGGGAGGGGGGTTGTATACATGATGAGTGTGGCTGTAAATGAGGTCCAAAAACACAGATGAAATACTATTTGCAGTATACTGTATTCCACAAAATCTTATGCCACAATAAATGTATTTGCCTTTAAGGTGCCACAAGACACTTTGTTGTTTTTGATGCAAAAGACTAATCCACCTTGCTTCCTGGAAGTACATGTAATGTTTTCCTGCACATGTATCATCATGTAAGTAAATTGTAAGTGAAAAGGCCTAAAGTTAGACAATTAAATCAATGCCATTTCAGGAGGCTGTCATGGTGCCCAGGAGGAGTTCTGACCCGGTAGTACCTGTGTCGTTTGACTCCAAGACCACGAGGACATTCGGATGAAACACAAGTGCCTGTAAAGAAGTAAAAGGAAACACAAATGCCAAATCAAAACTAAATAACACTAGTGCATTTCTGGCTGGACTAAAGTCAGCAATGATGTGAATTTTCCTCAATGTCTTGTTTCACTTAATACAATGGTTTAGATTTGGTGTCTGACATTCCAACTAAAGAGAAGAAGTACCCATCTTGTCCAGATTCACACCTAAATTTGTCTTCTTCATCTGGCAGAATTTTCTTATTAGGATCATTCACTCCTAAATGCTCATTCTGTCCCTTAACCTCACAGGTAAATTTGTCTGCTTAACTACCCCAGTCCTGTACCTGCATTCTGTTTCTCATGAAGTTCTTCATCAGACTGTAAATGGAAGGAAAATGGGTGCTGTTTGATGGGTGACTTTGTGAGGCTCCGTCGCTGTTCTATTGATGGAATCATAGCTACAAGGAGCGGCTGGGGACCCTTGATCTTTATCTCAGGTTCAATTATTGGGATGTTCTGCTTACCCAAAGTGAGTTCTACACAGTGGAAAGACACAGGTAAGATGAAGGAACGTAAAATGTCTTCAAAATATCCTCTGCAACCAGAAAGCCTATATTCTGCTACCAATTCAGTACACTGCAAGATAAATGTCTGTGACAAATACTCTGATATAGCTCAATATTGCCCCCTGGAGTGTCTGCAAAGAAAGATGCGGGCAAAATCCAATTGTGGCATCCTGCTTCCACAACTGCCAAGTGGAGCTGAATAGCCCTGTTTTTTCAGCCACAATTTTAATTGTGATTCCATACCAATGGGTAGAGCTTGGTAGAATGCATCTGGGCTGTCTGAGTTTTTTGCCTCTCCCTATACTCCCATACATTCCTCTATCTTTTTCTTTACTGGGCATGGGGTGCTGGTGGTCTGCTTACCTTAAAAAAATAAAAAACCCAGAAAGTGTGCAAAAGCACAACAGCGAATATTGCCAGCCTTATTTATCAAGTGGATGCCAAATCCCATTTTCTTTTTTGAATTTTTAAAATACCACTATCTTGCAAAATTGGTAAATGGGTCCTGAAAGTGTTGTACTGGTTATAAGTGAATGATAGCACCTTGAGACCCATGTACCTAAAAGAGCACCTCTCCTACTATCAACCATCTTAGGCCCTACAACCAGTAGTATAAACTCTGTTGGTGGTTACACCTCTGGCTAGTGCCCAGTTGGTGTTGACCCATGTTAGAGCCCTGGTGGCAGTTCAGTATTTGTGAAATGCCCTTCTGAGGGGGGTGCATCTGTCTGTCTCCCAGTACTGTACATTTCCGAGCACAATTCAAAGTGATGTTACTGATATTTAAAGCCTTAAACAGCCTCAGCCCAATATACCTGAAGGAGCGTCTCCACCCCCATCATTCAGCCCGGACAGTGAGGTCCAAGGCCCTTCTGACGGTTTCTTCACTGCGAGAAGTTACAGGGAACCAGGCAGTGGTGCCCTTCCTGTGGAATGCCCTCCCATCAGATGTCAAGGAGATAAAAAACTACACAACTTTTAGAAGACATCTGAAGGCAGCCCTGTTTAGGGAAGTTTTTAATGTTTGATGCTTTATTGTGTTTTTAATATTCAGTTGGGAGCCACACAGAGTTGCTGGGGAAAACCAGTCAGACGGGTGGGGTATTATTAATTAATTATTAACTTCCAGAGGGAACTTTAAAAAGTTTCTGTATATCCAGGTATTTGATGGCTGAAATACACTTTTTGGTAACCTTCAAATTATTAACTGAAAAGCAGCAACATGATCACATCCACACTATACATTTTAAGGCACATTCAACACACATTTAAGGCACATAACATCCTCCAAAGAATTCTGGAAACTGTAGTTGACCCCTCAGAGAGCTACAAATCCCAGTACCCTTAACAAACTACAGATGGCACTCCCCTGTTAGAAATATATGCCATCCTCTGCCTTGTACTTGGGAGTATACAGAAACTATTTTAAAATTCCTGTTTATACAGTACAGTACAGTACAGGCAATCCTCATTTTGCACAGAGGTTACATTCAGGATCCCCTGCATGTTAGTGGGGCCTGCATAAAGTTTTTCACCCCACCCCCATTCCACTATGTTAGTGATAGTTTAGTGACATTTTTGAGTCACTTTTGGGTTCGGCACTGTGTGCACATGTGCAATCACACGTCAGTTGGCCGTTGCCTGTACAGTGGTACCTCGGGTTACATATGCTTCAGTTTACACACACTTCAGGTTACAGACTCTGCTAACCCTGAAATAGTACCTCAGGTTAAGAACTTTGCTTCAGGATGAGATCAGAAATCGCACAGTGGCAGTGTGGCAGCAGCGGGAGGCCCCATTAGCTAAAGTGGTGCTTCAGGTTAAGAACAGTTTCAGGTTAAGAACGGACCTCTGGAATGAATTAAGTACGTAACCAGAGGTACCACTGTACATAAAAAAACAGGTGCATATCCATATATGTGCTCATGTACACCACTGTAAAAAAGGGCAGTGGACACTTAGCTTCCCTTAGATGAGAACCGGACTAGGCTTTGATTATAATGTAATCCAGAGAAATTTATCACTTGATTTATATGGGCCTAGGTACAGGTGCAATTTGGAAATTTGGGAAAAGGAGTAAACCTTTGCCTTCTTGTTTGCCTATCATGTTTGTATATTTATAAAGCAATAATAGTTAATCATGGTGGCATGGTAGTGGCTCCTGTCTGCCACAACTTTCTTTCGCCATAACACAGACATATATATATAAATACACACACACACACACACACACCCCAAAATAAAGCCATTTTCTGCAATGTGTGTAAGGATAGATTCCTCACCTTGATACTTCTTATCTACATTTTCTTCTTGCACAAATGTAGAGAGTGAATTTTCTAGATTTCGGTTCTGTATAAAAGAAATGTAGAGAATAAATCAGTATCTGACTTTCTTATTTTTATATATGCCTCATAATGAGTATTAAAGTGCACCCTATGTCTTTTTTCCCCCACCATGTAGGCACATTCATTGCCCATGTGTGTCCAGGTGTTGCTCACCAAAACATTTCCATACCCTATTTTACCTTTCCCGTTGATAAACAGACTTTCTTCTCTTCAGTCAACCAGGAAGATTGCCTTTGTCCTTTTGCAAGGGTCTGTTTTCTGCTTTTGATCACGTATTTGTTTTATTCAGTTCAAAAACTAAGCTAAGCAATGCTGAAAAGGCTACCTTTCAGTATGGACTGATACTTACCTCAAAGCCTCCAACACCACTTTATTTTAGATGTACCTCATAGGCAGCATTTTTCTTACATTGGTTTGCATAAGTATAGGAAAGAGTATAGCACACTTGTGGACATCTATCATGTGAAGATCACACATATGCCTGTTTTGCTGCATGTTGGGAAGCAGTGATCCCTTTATCCTTTTCTCAGTGTTTTCATATTAGAAGTATGCACTCAAACCCAAGGGACTTCCTTTGTGAGTGTTCCTACCCCATTATTTCCCTCCAGGCATATTTTCCAGTAAATGCCCACTAACTATATTAGGTGCTAAGGTTTCTAGTACCCTTGACAGCAAAGTTTGGTTATTTTTATATCTTCTCATCTCTCTTTGGTGTGTCCAAAGTGTACTGTAGGATTTTTCCAAAGCATTTTTCAGTCCTCTTATCTTGTTACATTTCCTTGGCAATATTAAAAGAGCTCTTGGTTCAAGCATCTCTCTTTGTAGTTTCTTATATGCTGTGATGTCAATCATCTTTGTGATACCCTATATCAGTGGTTTTCAACCTTTCTGAGTCCACGGCTCCCTTGACCAACCATGTACTTTTTGCTGCTCCCCTGTAGAAGTCACTTACACTGGGGTTCCATTAAAGGACATGCATAAGTGGGGGTTTCCCTATTCCGCCCCCACCCCATTCTGCCATGCCCGTTTTCAGTGCCATTTTTGAGGCACGTGTAAGAAGCAACGCATCTGTCAACAGGAACCCAAGCAATGCCACTGCTCTGCAGGGCCAAGGCATCCCCAGCGTGCCTTTTCCTAAATTAGTGTGCAAATGAGGAGAGAGGGGGCGAAACAAGATTAGAAGGAGATCAGAAGGAGAAATATTTTGTTATTATTCTGGAAATCCTTGTCACGTTTTAAGTTCTTTCGTCTGACACAGGCATACAACAACTATATTTTGCAAAGGCACATGTTAAGATCTTTCGTATCCTTCGTCTGATACCTGGAAACATCAGCTGCATACAACAACCATACTTTGCAAAGGCAGAGGTGGAACATTACAAAAAAAGTTCATCTTTTGCAAGCCTGCTCCTTAAAGTTGTTATGTTTGACACTTGCATTCGCTAAGACATACGTGGAACACAAAAAGCTTTTATTTGGACATTATGTTTAAAAAAACTGATTCATTTGTACATATGTGGAACACAAAAGCTTTTATTTGGACATTACATATATAAGAACTGATCTATTTGTATTTCCTGTTCTAAATGTTGGTCCTTAATTTTTTCTACTCAATTAGATAATGTGAAAAGAGTTATGTTTATATGATGTATAAGGAATTTATATAGTTAAACACAGCTAGTTACGTTGTGGGTATATTTGTTAGTTGAATTTATGTAACTATTGGTTTGACAGTGTTGTGTAAGTTGCCACTGTCCTTTTCTGCAACATTCTCCCTGTCCTGATAAAGTTTGGTGACTGTTAAGGAAGAGGGGAGTGCCTGTGGCGAGAGGTAGAGAAGAAGAGCAGGGAGGGATGTTGGAGGCAGGAGAGGGAAACACAGAAGACACTTTCAAGGTTATTTTAAATCTGTTCTTATAGAGCACACACACATCTTAGCACACACACCATCAAGCTACTTTGTTATTTTCCTGCTTTTCTCAAGCCCTCTGTGTAAAACTAAGGAACTGTTACTTAGTGAAGCTGAGAGGAGGATTTTTGTTGGGGGGAAGATTTTAAGAAGATAAACAGTCATGCAAAACTGTTTCCCCACTTTTTTGCTGTTGTTTTATTTCGGGAAGATAATGGGCTGCAAGTTAAAGCTGCCAGCTCCCCTGAATGTTCCTAAGAAGGAAAGAGAGAGATAATGAAGGAAGATAGGAGCTACAAGTTAATGAAAGGACAGCCCCCCTGTCTCTCCTGAATGTTCCTCAAGTCACCCCAGAGTGCCACGGCACACTGGTTGAAAACCAAAGCCCTATATTAAATTCTTGTTATAGCTCTCTGAATGTATGGTCACCAAATAACCCCTGAAATGGTCCACTGCCCACATGTTATTTTAGTAATTAAGATAAAACGTTATGCCCAGTGTGGCAATATGTTTTGTGCAGCCACCTACAACATATGCACTCAAAAGGGAACAAGTTTATGCTTCAACACTATATCCAATCTGACATTTCCTTAAAGTATTTTTCAAATATTTATTTCAAGCACATTCCTTTATTATTCATATCATGGGTCAGTCTCCAAGATGAATTGTGTAATGCAGTTCTTTAGTGTACCAATACACTTATAAATTTCATCTGAGAGGCACTGAGCATACGGTGAATTGTAACAGAAAATTAGATTCCACAAACCAACCTGACACACACAGAGTACTTGATTCATTTGCTTGTTCTTCTGTTCTGAACTGTTGTCTCTCCATGATCTCTTGGAAAGGCTATGATTTTTTTCAACACTTGGAGAAATTGAGCTTTCCTAAAGGAATTTAATAGAGAGATGGTATCTTGGCTCACTCTGAAATCACAGTGAAAGGATTCAATGGGATGCTGTCCGAAGTCTCTTAACAGAGACTCCTTATTCCACTCAAACAGGAAAAGCAGAGGAGAGAAAATTCAGAGGAGGAAACGGTCACACAGAGAGAGTCCCATTCAGCACAAGATACTTCGCACATGGTTGAAGGTTGAATAGTCTCTGCAGTTACAGAAGTGAACATATATCAATTTAATATTGTACATATAGGCAAATATGTATGCCTGCCATCTGATCAATATAATAAACATGAGTTCTGGAACATCATGCATTCTAAATCGATTCAAATAGTTGGATATGGGTGGTCTATTGATACAGTGGTGCCTCGCAAGACGAAAAGAATCCGTTCCGCGATTCTCTTCGTCTAGCGGTTTTTTCGTCTTGCGAAGCAAGCCCATTGACAGCTAGCGGATTAGCGCTACAGCGGTCTAGCGGCTTTTCGCGATCAGCTGTTAAGCGGGTTATCGGTGGAACAGCTGATAGGCGGCTTAGCGGCTTAGGAAAAGGGGGGGGAGCGGAAAAAACCCGCGGGGACACGCAAGATTTTTTCGTCTTGCGAAGCAACCCCATAGGGAAATTTGTTTTGCGAAGCGCCTCCAAAACAGAAAACCCTTTCGTCTAGCGGGTTTTCCGTCTTGCGAGGCGTTCGTCTTGCGGGGCACCACTGTATAATGTGCCTTGACAATTAGAGTTCTTCAAACACAATCCTTGCTAATGGTCTTAAAATGCAAAATAATAATGAAAATGTCCTTTCACCAATATCTTTTTTATAAAGTCATTTCATTGATTACTCATCCATTAATCAGATCAGGATGACCAACCAGCAGTTGGTGAAGAACATCAGCATGGTTTTGTCTGGGCCTCACAACCTGCTACAAATGCTAACAGATTTGGAGTACAGGACAGGATGACACAATGGTGAAAGTTCATTGGCTTCCTCTTTCACAAGCAGAGATACAATAAAAGAAGTCATAATTATCTAATACCATTGATGCTATTGCAGCAAGAAGCTAGTACCCTCCACTCAAAACAACTCTTTCACACCTGCAGGGAAGGTTTGCCCCTTCCCACCATCTGACAAGAAAGCCAAAGAAATTGATTTACACCTCTGGTCCCATCTCCCTGTGCCATTGGCAAATGCTAATGATCAAATTGTCTCTGTATATGTGATGAATCTCAGGCATGCCAAGCTGAGCTGGCTACAGAACAGGCTGATTGCCTTCCTATCTAATTACACCCTCCCACAATCTTCAGGAAATAAGAAAGTAGATGCCTCTTTTTGCTGACCTACAATGTGCCATTTAGTTGCCTTGTTTCAGTAGCATATTTAGGGAGGGGTACAGGGGGCAGGCCACCCCAGGCGGTGCTTGGCTGGGGGGGTAGATGTGTGCTCCTTCCATCATCCTCCCTCTCTGCGCCTCCTCTCACCTGGCAACTAACTCTAGCCGCACTTTGCTGGCAGGATGGTGCCTGGTGCCCCGTAGCGATTCTGCTTCCCCTTTCCTTTGCAGATCCTCCTTCCCCTTTCCCAGTGAAGCAGAAGGTGGGCTGCTGCCCAGTCTGGTTTTGCAACTGTGTGAGAGAGAAAACCTGGAGAGAGGAAGGGGTGGGGGAAGGCTTCCCTCCAAGCAAAGCTGGAGTAAGCAGTAATGTGCACACAGCCCAGCCAACCCGGCCAACCCCCTTATTATTTTCCTCCCCTCAACGTCTCAGAGATCAATTAAAAGTGGTGAAGAGATCAGACTACCATCTCCTGTCCTTTTTGGAAACAGGATCTTTTATCAGGATTAAACCATTTAAATAGCAAAGTTACAGGATAAGCACTTTGGAGTATTGCTTGCTTATAGTGTGTGTGTGTGTGTGTGTGTGTGTGTGTGTGTGTGTGTTTGGATCTAGAGGACAACCTACATGTTTATGCCATGTGAATACATAAAGAGGGCACTGTTGTATACAACCAGCTACAAAAGCAGAGTCTCATTTACACTGAAAATAAAATACCATTGACCATTGGATAAGCTGAGAAATGGTGACTGGCCCAAGGTCAGATGGTCCATTTGTGGCTGACTGAATATCTGAAATTACATCTCTCCAGTCCTACAGAACACTGCTAACCCTGCCCTGAAGGATGATGAGAGTGGGAGATCCACTGTCAATTTGAATTCCTTCTGGTTCCTGCAGTGAAGGGTGGATGGTGGGAAGGGCTATTTTCTTGAGGTTTTGCTGCACCAAGCTGGAACAATAGAGAAACACAAATTGGATGGATCTCTAATCTTAGTGTGCCTGTGTAGGATCCAATGGATCCTTTGGTTGCTCAGTTCAGCCTCCACTGGACCCCATTCTGGGACTCTTAATGTGGTCTGTTGCTGGTCTTGAGTGGAAGCCAGGCATCAGCTGCACTGAAGCTGATGGTAGAGGTGTCAGCACTTCATCTTAACCCACCACCCCTGCCAGGCTCTGTAGCTGATGGAGGTGGGGCTCACAGATGATGAACAGTGAGAGAGGCAGCAAACTCAGTGACTGCCCTGGGCAGCAAAAGCCCTAGCTACACCACTGCCTTGTTTTCCGTTCTTTCTATATTGTCTTTTAAGAAAATGTATGTCATTGAGTTTATCACTTGTGTATGATATATTCTTAATTTAAAATATTTACTGCCTGCCCTTCCAATTCTTATAAAAGGACAGGCTGAAACAGAAAATAAACTATAATAACCATATCAATAAAACAATGAACAAACTCATAAAAAATGCACAGAGGTAGCCAAACAAACAAACCAACCAACCAACCAACCAACCAACCAACCAACCAGAGAAAGACATTAAAACAAAACAAAAAATTAAAATGCCTGAGCAAACAAATACATCTTGGCTTGGTGCCAAAATGATAGGAGTATCAGTGCATGTCATACTTATGAACAGTGTGAAAGTGTGTGAATGAAGGCACACACAACACAAACATGGGAACAGTGCCCCATATATATATTGACACCCTAGTGTAGACACAACTATAAATGGAACACTTTGTGAAAGAATACTCCTGTTTTTTGTTTGACTTATGCATTTATTTTATTTGGTGTATCTAGTTGAACATATGAACCTTCTTAAACTGAGTCAGGCCTGTTTACTCTGATTGGCAGCAACTTTTCCTGGTCTCAGGCAGATCTTTTTTTCAGCCTTGCTATGAGATTATTTTTCTGAAAATAATCAGGGATTAAATATGGAACTCTTCACATCCAAAGTAGATTGTAGTGATTTTCAGTCTACAAAATGCAATTATCCCCCATGCTTTTCTGTAGGGAGGGGGGATTATGACAGAATCTTAGGGTCATATCCAACTGTGTCACTCCTGCTGATGGAAAGCTCTTTGATTCAGTGGCTACTTCTGTCAATGGAATGAGGATAGAACCAATTTATGCTGATTCCACCTTCTTCCTGCAGACATGCCTCCAAAATCTGTTCCAGTGGATTGGATGACCCTTTCAAACACTATGTGCAGGTGGCATGGGTACTGTAGTGAAGGAATTGACAAAAATCCCCCCCCCTCACTTGGCTAAAGCAAGCCTCCAATGGATTAAATAATCTTCTGTTATTATAAGATATACCATTGAATGCAACCTTTGGGTATGCATTGGATGGCGTTGCTATATGTGCAACTAAACTATCTCCTGTCTAGGAAAAGAGTAGGCAGCCACTTATTGACAGTTGAAGAAAAGCAGCATATCCACTAACCATTTTGAAATATGGCAACCCTTGCTACTATTATCATTACTACCACTACTAAGGAATCACAATCTAGTTAATTAGACCACAGCATATAAGAAATGTTAACAGCTGTGTGCTGGACAGATGGATAATAAGGCACTATGATTAACCTGCAAGGGTATAGTGGATAGTGCCCATAACATCAATGATGACAAGGAATAACTACCTTCATCCCCACTCTGCTTTGTAACCTTTAAAAATGTCACATTTATAATTGTGGGGTTTAAAAAAAAATAGGTGTAAGGTCTCCTACTGTACCCTTTATGTACAGATCATTCATATGACCACTTAAAAAGAAAAATAATTATGTGTCAGACACTAACAAGGCTACCTGCTTCCTCACAGCAATCCTGTGCCATTAACAAACTTTTGTATTTCATACAGTTGAACTTTAAACAGTATTTGCTGTTGAAAGATGGGGGAGGCACAGATGCTCTCTGGGTCACCTTGCCCGAGGTGCTTTACACTAAGGAAAGACTTTCCAGAATAACTCAGCACTGCAGTGGCAAAGCAGTGGTGTTCCTAAAATGCTAGGTAGTGGGTGCCACTGGCTGCCGCACAGTAGACAGCAGGAGGGTAGCTGGAAGCTGGGCAGGCTGGTGGCAGCAGGCAAAATGGTGGTGGGTGGGTGGTCAGGCCAGAGGGAGCATGTAGATTCTCTACTCCCAATCCACCTCCTGAGATAAAGTGTGGCTAATAGGTGGGCTGCCTTAGAAGTCACGAACAAATTATAACAAAACAGTGATTGTTTCTGCAGAATACTGAGCCCCTGCCCAATATATTTTGCTACCTGAGGCAGAGCAGTAAATGGTGCCTCTGCCACATTCAGGGTGCTCTCACACACCTCTCATTCATAAACGGAGAGAGATTAGCCATAACTCCTACACACTGCTTAATTTCCAACATTATCTATTGTCCTGCCCCCATATTCTCTCACAAACACTAGAAGGTTAACAAAAAAAGATAAAGGACCCCTGGACGGTTAAGTCCAGTCAAAGGCAACTATGGGGTTGTGGCGCTCATCTCGCTTTCAGGCCGAGGGAGCTGGTGTTTGTCCACAGACAGCTTTCCGGGTCATGTGGCCAGTAAGACTAAACTACTTCTAGTGCAATGGAACACCATGACGGAAACCAGAGTGCACAGAAACGCCGTTTTCCTTTCTGCCACAGCGGTACCTATTTATCTACTTGCACTGGCATGCTTTCAAACTGCTAGGTTGGCAGGAGCTGGAACAGAGCGACAGGAGCTCACCCTGTGATGAGGATTCAAACAGCTGACCTCCTAATCAGCAAGCCCAAGAGGCTCAGTGGTACCCCTCTACAGCTGGGTTATGCATGCCCCACTGTTGACAGATACAATGTGAAAGACATAGAGCATGGCATATTCATTGTCATACCCACACTCACTGACTTATGTTTACCACTGCCAAAGTTCTTCATGGTATTGACAACAGCAGCTCTCTCACTCTTGCTCTCTATTATTCCTCATACACTAAATTTTCCAGAGGGAGAGTCTTGTGGCACCTTCAAGACTGCATCTGATGAAGCTGACTATGATCTATGAAAGATCTACTCTGGTGCACAACAAGATTGAAGCTGGTCTGTAGGAACTGGCTGAGTGTATGATTATATATAGTCTGCTATTGGGATAGCACAGCTATGAAACATCATTGTCTGGATTCTGGCACACACTCGCCCTCTCTCTTTCCCTTCTTCCCTTTCACATGTCAGAAGTTTTCTTATTTGGACAATGTTGCAAGGTCAATGGCTTCAAGAAGAGAAGGAGTACAGGTAGGAAAGAAGAAGAGGTGTAAGGAATAAGAAAGAAGCGTTCTCTCTCAGTCTCCTTCTGCCACTAGGTCAGACTGCGGTAGGTATGTGTATAGGCATGGAAACACACACTTCCCTCCACTGCTGATATGGACTTGCACAAAACACAACAATAAACCTGCTCATTCACTCTCCCTTCTGCTGCTTAGTTGAACTAGCACACTCTACCTGGAGGAGTGAATTGCAGGAAAACCAAAGGCACAGACAGAGGCAGGATGCTGCCAGCACCTCCACATTTTTCTCACTGGCACTCCCTCCTAGCCAGCAGAAAATGGGAAAAGGAGTGTGGAGACTTAATGTTCAAAGCAGGAAGCAAGCTGGCTGTAGAGCCAAAAACTGACAGAGTGAGGTAGCTGGCTGAACAGCCAGATTGGGGGGCATGTAGGACCTCAAAAATCTTCCACTCTAAAAAGTGCACCTCCCAAAACACTACATGTCTTGCCCAGGCTAGTTAGTGCAGTCATGTCAATGATGGACTGAGAAAGATGAGAAGCTTCTGCTTGTCTTTCTAACAATGCAGCTCTACTAAGTTGTGTCAGTAGACAGTACCAACCCAGCAAGCACTGGCAACCCCTGTTGCCACCTGGCAGCCCAAGAAAGCCAGACCTTTCCATAAGACAATGAGTGACCCACCTAAATTTCTCAAGAGATAGCAGCACTGACCAGGCTTGCTGCAGGACAGTAACGTGGTAAATGACCAGTTAGTCAGTGGAGGCCTGGCTATGGCCAGTAACAGGGAAGTAGGAGGAGTGGCACCAAACTTAAGACTATAGAGGCAGCGCACCAGCAATTTACTGTGTAGGACAATAAACAAAAAATGAGGATGATGTGAGCAAAACTGGGGAGGTAAGAGTAATCACTTGTGGGGAGGGGGGGCTGTGAAGGGGGAGAAAAGGTACTGATCAGTCACCCATGGCCTGAGGCAAGTGTCTCATTCAGCCCCATAAAAGTGTCAGTCATGAGAATAACCTAGACCACTTCAACAATACAGGAATAAAAAAATAAAAAAGCAACACTCACTAGACAGAAAACTAGTGAAATATCCAAACAGTTGAACTGCATTCCATTGAGAAACATTTCTAGCTGGCTGTCCTCCTCCAGCAAAGGCACTTATCTGGTCTGTTTTAATTTGCCTCTTACCAGGGTATCTTTCTTATGTTTTGGTGTTTGACTCAGAGTAAGTTTCTGATGCAACTCATTCCTTTCCTTCCTTGTTCTGAGTTGTTTCTTTTTCTTCTTTTTCTTCTTCTCATTAAAATCCTTCAGAGATTAAAAAAGTAACAACAACACAATTGTGAAAGTGTTCCCAATTACCACCTAAATGCAGTCAAACAATGGTTCTGTTTGCATTCCAAGAGGAGATTTCAGCAACTTTGCTTCTCCCTAGTCATTGTGCTGATCTGCAGTCCCGAGCTAAGCCATGGCTTGGCATAACATTTTGCCAAATCCAGGCTTGTGGTTTAGTTCTCTCCAGACTAACACATACCCTCCAACATTTGTCAAGTGAAAATAAGGGCATCCCATTTCATAAAGATAATTTTACTATTTATACCTCACACATCTTACTGGGTTGCCCCAGCCTCTCTGGGCTGCTTCCAACATATATAAAAACATAGTAAGCATTAAACATTAAAAAACCTTCCCTATACAGGATTGCCTTCAGACGGCTGGGGGATCAGATAACTCCATACCCTCCAACATTTCTCCACTGAAAATAGGGACATCCTAAGGAAAAGTGGGACATTCCGGGATCAAATCATAACCCAGGGTGGTTTCTCTAAATCAGGGACGTCCCTGGAAAATAGGGACACTTGGAGGGTCTGCTAATCACAAGCTGCAACTGATTGTCTTATGGCTTGTTTGAGAGAGCTAAGGCATGAGCCTGGGTTCAGACAGCATGCTAAACCAAACCGTAGCTTAGCACAGCAGCAGAATGACCAGGGAGCAGCAAAGTAGCCATGGTTTCCCCTCAAACAGCTTGTACACCTGCATGTTCATGCTAAGCTATGGTACGGTTTAGTGTGACATGCAAACCAGGCCTTAAAGTCCATTTCTATTTCTTTCAGCGTCCAAAGTATTCCTAGATTCCAAATAAATAATAATTTATAAATTATTGAGATTGCTCTGTGGCATTTAGGCTGTAATCTTGTGCACACTTACATTTGAGTAAGTTCTGTTGAACACAGTTGTATTTACTTCTGAGTCAACAAGCATACGAAATACAGCTTATCTCCCAGTGTTTGTTGTATTTTTCTGCTCAGTTCTTAAGTCCCACCCACAGTATAATTCTTGGTCTTTTTCACAGCATAGTCCTAATAAGTTACCTATCCAGGCTCCAATAGCAACCAGTAGCATAGTTTTCTTAGGACTTGTACAAATTGTCATCTTCCGAAAGACAGAAGTGCCTGCTTTACTTATTTGTTGCAGGCAGTCCAGATATCTTCATTCAAAATATAAGTTCTGTGGCTGCATTTTCCCAGCACTAAAACCACACTACATTATTGGCAGGAAAATGCAATTCTCCTTCCAGTTCATGCATGTTTTACTCTAGCAACTGCTATGTGGAAACAGGTCTCAAAGGCATCTCACAGAAAACAACTGACAAAATCAACTCAACTATGGGGTGTGTGTAGATTTTTAAAATATTTAGAGACTGAGCACTCCTTGCTATATCACTGAAGAACTAGGATATTAATTGTGTCCTTTAAACAGAAAAAGACAAATGGAAAGCACCTCCTTCTCTTGCAGAAATGCCTAGCCTTTTAAGGCATGTTTAAAAGAACTTGCTAAAATGTGTTTTCCAAAGACAGCCAGTGTGACTATACAATGTAGAATTTCAATTGCTAGTATCAAAACAAGCTTAGTATTGAAAAAAAACATCTTTGCATAGATTACAATACCACTAGCATACTTTTCATTGACAATAAATTAGTACAAAAAGCATGAGGAAAATAAACTATAGAAAACAGATACAGCAACAAAATAAAAAAGCCACATCAATAAATTTTTTCCATTTTTCATTAAATCCTTTGAAATATGTGCATTTTTTCTTTCCAGTAACAGAATGCACATCTCCTCTAATGGTCTCTTTCTGAGCCACTAACATCAATAACAACCCAATCTGTAGTAAGGTTAGTGTCCCCATTCCATTACAAGGGACCAGGATATTGAAGTTTTTATATTTTTCCAGGTAGATTTGTTCACCAAAAAATGAATAACTCTCACCTTCTCATCCATGTTGAGCAAATGTGCAGGGGGGCCATCTGACTGGGAACTGTCTGAGCCACTTGTGCTAATTAAAGGAAAAGGAAACCATTGGTGTGATGCAGGGCAACATAAGAACATAAGGAGGACCCCCCAGAATCAGGCCAATGGCTCATCTAGTCCAGTATCTTGTTTTCACAGTGGCTGAACAGTGGCTGGGAAACAAGCAAGCAGGATTCAAGCACAAGAGCACTTTTTCCTCCTGTGGTTTCCAGCAACTGCTATTCTGCCTCCTGTGCAATATATGTGAAATAGAGATGATCCAGTTGACATTGTGTACTTAGAATTTGAAAAAAACTTTTCATAAAATCCTAGACCAAGGTTTCCTGGGTAAACTTAGCAGGCATGGAATAAGAGGAGAGATCCTCTTATGAGTCAGTAATTAGTTAAGAAACAGGAAGCAGAGAGTAAGAATCAATTATCAGTACTGGAACAGATGGTAAGCTAACTGGCCTGTAATATCCCAAATCATCTCTGATCCTTTAAAAAAAAACTGGTATTACATCTGATCCTTGGGTATGGGGACTGATCTTAGGGACAAATTACATATTTTTAAAGATTAGCAATTTCACATTTAAGTTCTTTAAGAACTTTTTAGTAGATGCCATTTGGACTGGGTGATATGTCAGGTTTTAATTTGTCAATAAAGCCTGGAACATCACCTGTTGTCAGCACTATTTCCTTGTCATTTCTCTAAGGTTCAAGTCAGTAAAAGCTTGCAGTCTTGAGTTACCTGGATTCAACATCTGATAGAGAGATGTCACTCCAAGTACCATCTATGTTTTGTACATGGCCCAGCTCTGAGAGCTTTCTCTGGATTTTTTGCTTCAGTAGTTCCTTAAGTTCAGATAGGCATTGCTGAAACTAAGAGAAAGGATAGAAAGCATGGACGAACTGCCGATTAAAAACTTACATAATGCAATTTTGGTTAGCAATTATCTCATCTGAGCAGAATTGAAGCACTCAGGGTAGAATAGATTTGCTAACCATTTCGAGGTTTTTTTAAACCACTTTCGGGGGTTTTTCTTACAATCAAGCAGTATTTAAATTTATGAAATAAATAATAACTACTTGAAGATTTTTGCACATCTCAGATATATGAGCAGCCGAGAGGAAACTAGGAGCTTTGCTAAATGCATGTCTCAAATTTGTTTCCGACCATGCTTTCATTACAAATCCAAATATCTCTGGCTTTCGATAGACACCTTTTCAAAATGTGAAAAGTAAAAAAGGCAGTATCAGAGGCTGGTCTCAGAAAAACAAGAAATAGTTAAAGACACTGGCTGGTCCATCATTGTCCGTTGACCCTGCTTAGCAGTAACAGGAAACTCTTACCTTAGAACGGTCAGGGTCACAAAAGTCCAATAAGGTGTCACAGACATGGTAGCCCAGAGATTTGAGATCCTCATAGGTAAAATGAGAGTTATTATTATTGCCTGAGAAAGACAAACAGACAAGTAGTTCTTCAATCTTTAGCAAATTACACTCCAGTGCACAACATCCAGCATGGAAAAATTATATGCTGAATGTCTTTTAAAAACTATTAAATACATTGATGATTGAAACAGAGGTTATAACTTAACCTCTTTCTTTTCTTTCTTCCTACCTTTCTATCCATTGTTATGACAAGCCAGAAATTACAGAGCATGATAATGGAAAAATAGATGTGATGGTGATAATGGATCAGCTGAGGGGAAAGGCTCTGGGTGCCTCTGTGTGTATTCTGCATGCATGTGCATGTATGTGTCCTGTGGTTGCAATAATGTGGGGCAGCTACACTCACAGCTGCTATGTGATCCCTGGAAGGCTGGCCAAAAGTGAATGTTGACCCTCGGCCCCCCAAAAGTTAGTCACTCCTTTGCTACATCCCACTACTGTACTGCGGTTTACCATCAGCTTTTCATTGACAGATAATGTCTACTTTGGTCTTGGACAAAAATGTATACTTACCCAGAGTTGTCCCACTGAATGTAGATTCCATAGTATAGCTATTCACTATCCCCATTCGCCACATCACAACCCGTCCTGTTCCTTCTTTGCACTTTTGGACTTGAAACTTACAGCTGTTGAAAGAAAACTAAACATCCAGATTGGTAAAATTAGATTGTATTTTTAGAACTAATTTCTTATCTCTCTTTAGAACATAAGACAAGCCCTGGTGGATCAACCAAGGGTCCATCTAACCTGCAGTGGCCAAGCAGACACCTCTTGAAATACTAGAACATCTTCTCTATTTACATTACTATATAGGACCGTTCTTAGCATTTTAAAAATTCCTGTATAGTCAACATATATTATTTCCCAGTGAATTCCTAAATTATCATCACCCAAGTCCATTTAATGTATACATTAACTAATCTGGACATCTAATGTTAGTCATTGAACAGACAAACTGACATCAATGGACTTAAGCCCATTGATTTTAGTGAGTCTATTCTGAGTATGACTTAGCTGGATATCACCCAATGTTTTACTAATCTCATATTGGAACCAAATGAAGAGTTTGTTTGAAATTATATTTTAGCTCAAAGCAGGAAAAAACAACCTAGATTCAATATGCATCATCTGCTGTCATATCACTTCAAGTGTGGAATGACTGAATCTAAAAAATATAAGCCAGAATGTTTACTTCAGCTAAGTGATGAAAAATCTGGGCATTATAATGTAAATTGTTAGGAAGATAAAAGTATCTTCCTATCATGAGAAGAGTAGTAGGCCTGATATAATAGCCAGCTTTAAGGTAATTTATAGACACTCTCATTAAAAAAACCAGGAGATAAGGAAATGTGGAGACATGCTTTACTCAGAACTGAGTGAAGAAACTGAAATAGGAAAACACATTGCAACAAAAGGTAATTTCCAACACATAATTCATAATGAACTAAGATCTTCCTATAAACTATACCCCACCTTGTCAGGAATATTCTTGCTTAGCATAAGAGGAAAGATTCGTTCATGGAATAATCGCTCTTGTGCATATTTGTTGTTACAGCCATACATGAATATATTATTCTTCCGGCTGTGTCCATGGAAGTCACAGTACAACAGAACTTCACGATCTTCAAGGACCCTTGCAGAGAAAAGATATAAGCAAAGAAATCAAAACCAATTAAACATATAAATGGCTAGCTGGCTGCACACAAATAACCATACTGTTCTGTTTCTTTCCCACTGATGTGTAAGAATTAAGTAGTTGGAACAAGTTCTAGAAGCATTCCTGAATGAATGAAATCCCTTAACCTAGGTCTCTATTTGATGCTTCATTATTAAAGGTAAATAGGCAACCTGATTCTATGTTCCCAGCTAATGCTGTATTAATGTAGTTGCAATACCATGGAGTTGCAACAACTAAGCAGAAAGCACAGTAACAGCTGTAGGAACAAAAGAAACCACAGCAACACTGGCAGACATTCCCACAGCTTTCTGGGTAACTCTATCACCGTTCATCAGTCACAATGTTACCCACCAGTGCCATTCACACATTAGCCATGCAAGAAAAGCACCAAACAGCTTATGGTACTGGTACAAATGGCAAAATAACATCATTTCCCTTCATTTCCCTACCCATCTTTCCATATGTGAATATTATATCCTCTTGTGCAAACTGTATGTGCTACGACATTCTTTCCTCCTCCAACAGCAGAAAGCTGTGTCCTACACACAGGAGGTACTCAGCCCCATACACAGGTAAACTCTCTTTTGGCAAAGGCCAGGCACTGCACTGCAACCATTGCCACTGTTGGCCAAACGCTCATGAGGATCACAGATACACAAGGAAGATCAGCCACTGCATCCACAGAGCTCCCATGGGACCCCCCAAGTGAAAAGGGGTAAATATAATCACAGTTACTTCAGTCTCCCTCTCTCTCCCATGCTGAGGGAGAAGGGACTGAAGCATGAACACTACTGTGCAGGCTTAGAGACCATGTGCTTCAATCTGATGATTGCTCTCCTTAGTTATAATGGAAGTATAGGAATGCTCTGTTGGACTATAGTTGCATACACTACACAAAACTGCCATGGAAATTGTCTATGGACAGATCTCTGTTCATGCACAGCATTCCCCCTCATGTTCACAGTAGCTATCTTTTTATGTTTCCCAGGAAAGACAAGTATTCAATTCAACTATTTTTCCTTCCTGATCTGTATTTGCCAACACTCCCAAATCAAGAGCAACAAACCATGATAAAACAATAAAAACAGATTAAAACACAATTCCAGTGCAGATTCTTAAACCAATGTACATAATCTTTTCAATTTGAAAAATATATATAGATTACTAAAAATGCACATTTAGTCACAAAGGCTCTATAATGGTTTCCTTTGTGTGGTTCTGAATTTCACCCACTCTGCTCCCAGGTTTTCAGATCCAGTTCATAAAACGGTTTGTCACGCACCTTTTGATCATGGCTCGAGTGTGCCAAATGCAAGGAAAGGATTCCTTCAATACTGTTCTGTAGTTCCTGTTCAAGTCCCTTCCTGCCAGTGAGCAGCGGTAATTTCCAACAATTACTCCATCTGGGTTTAGCATGGGCACAACCTTGAATATGAAGAGATCCCGAAGGAGTCGAGCATCAGGGGAATCACTTAAGATGAAATCAAGGAAGCCTCTCATCACCCACGAACTGTTTGTTTCCCCAGGATGAACTCTGGCACTTAGTACAATAGCCTTCTTTGCAGCAGCAGCAATGGCACTTTTGGATGGATTGGTAATAGTGAGGAGGTAGACTGTGTTCCCAGCTAGACTGCGGCATAGAGGGCGAAGTTTGCAATACTGAGAACAGAGTGGATTCTTTACTAAAGTCATGAGGTAGTGCTGCAGGTCTGTATAGGTGTAAGGATAGAAGTGAGCAAAATAACATGTATCATGGCTATGTGGAAAACGAAATGTCCAGGTGAGGCAATATAGGGTCTGACCATCTTCTGTGTTATATTTATAATATTTAATGTTACTGCCCTCTCTCCTCCAGCCAATACCATGAGACTGGGCATCCTTTTCAGAGTACAGGAGAGGCTTCATCCCTACACTGTAGAGACTCTTGGCTTTCATCAGATTAACAATAGTGAAGCGATAGGTGACATCCTTTCTAGTATTTTGTATTCTGAAATAGTACCATTGCGTGTACTTGCTGGTATAAAGATCTGTCCGCAATGTGAGTTCATATTCATACTTGCCTCTGAAATGCAGTAATCAAGAAAAAATGCATAAGAAGCCATCAGAAACTTTCCAGTCCATGGAGGGAAATGTTACATATCATCAAAATTCTACAGACTAAGGGTGATTCCAGACTATCACTATTTTCAGGTGGGATTCAATAACATACAAAAAAAATTCAGGTTGCACAATTACAATTGCTTGGGTGGTCTTGAGCAACAAACCCACTTCCTCATGACTGGACTTTTTGTAATAAAGAAAGTGACAGGAAAATACACTGGAAAACATGAGATAACACCTTCCTTGATGCAATATTGTATAACCTCAATCAAAAATTGTATAACAATCAAATCAGGATGAATGCTCAATAAATAGCCAACAGCATCTAGCCTCCCTGCAAACAGATTGGGATAACTGCTCAATAAATAGAGCATCTGAAAGTCCCCTTACTTCACTTAATTGAATTGAATTGAATCAACTGGGTTGGTGTGGTTATAGCTATTGGCCAACAATTCCTTAGGGAAATGAAGTGATGATTGCTTGCTAATAACCCTGAATAGTTGGTTGATAGGAGATACAGAAAGCAAAGAAGCCCTGTTGATCTATGAGAAGAATTCCAAAATGCACATTAGCTTCCTTAGAACCAAAAAAATAATGAGGAACTTGAGTTTGAGTTCTACAGAAGCTTCATCAGGCTGGATGGAAGTTAAGCAAAATGGAAGTGGAGAGAGAGAGAGAGAAGAAAAACACTTGGCTTGATGGTTGAAGCCCCAATGTCTGCATTCAGATCTAAATTAGACATGAATTTTGGCATATAGTTTTTCAAAAAAAAACTAAATAGCTACTAGTGTTCAAGGGTCAGGTGGGGACTAAGGCATGGATTTAAGCCCAAGCCATTGTGTGTACACATATTAATAATTGCCTTAACTTCATGAGCTGATTGCTTTGACAATGAATTGGGCATTAGCTAATAACCATGAATGGACAAGATTGGAATAGAACCCCACACTTTGAGCTTAAATCGGTTTAGAGTTGGTGTGAAAACTGCTGAACTGAAAGCTCAACAGAAAAATTGCATGCAGTTGGGAAAGTGGCTGCTCTATCAAAACTACAAAGAACTGATAAGCTAAGTGCAGTATATATTTTAAATATTATTTCAATGCACTCACACAAGCTCACTGGTGAGGAAATGCTTACCTAATAATTTGATGCTGTTTAGCAAATTCTGTTAATATTAAATATCCTCAGAACACAGCATGCGTAATATGTTACTTATTCAGCTTCAACATTTATTTTATTGATTATTTGGAACATAAGATGCTGTCTTATACTGAGTCACGCCATTGGCCCATCTTGTTCAGCAATGTCTTTATTTGCCGGAAGTGGCTCTCTAGGGCAGAGCTTTCCATGTTGGTGCCACACTTTTTAGACATGCATCAATTCATGACACAGTTTTACTAGCAAACCAGAGGTTAAACTAACCCCTTCCCAGCCCCGGGAGGAGTGCAACACACCTACACACAGCAGCCGACACACTAACGTGTCAGGACACACAGTTTGGAAATCTCTGTTCTAGAGTTTCATGTAGACATTTTCATACACACACATTTTCAAAGCACTGGAAACCTCAGCAAACTAGCATTCATACTTTAGTGATGTTGAGCATTAGATAAAATGCCAAATTCACAAAGGACATTTCAGAGGAGACTTTGCTGTAACAGAATTATACAAGAAGTGATTGTTGCAACTTAAAGACTAACAGAAATTTTATGTCACAAAAAAATCTGTTAGTCTTTAAGGTACCATAAGACTTTTTAGGGAGTATGGAAGGAGCTGGTCAAGTTGCCCACATATGTCCACAGAATTGCAATAATTAAAGGTATTTGGAATAATGTAACATAATAAATACAAGCTACCCATAATATCTGCCAACCTAGCAGTTCAAAAGCACGTCAAAGTGCAAGTAGATAAATAGGTACCACTCCGGTGGGAAGGTAAACGGTGTTTCCGTGCGCTGCTCTGGTTTGCCAGAAGTGGCTTAGTCATGCTGGCCACATGACCCGGAAGCTGTATGCCGGCTCCCCCAGCCAATAAAGCGAGATGAGCGCCGCAACCCCAGAGTCGGACATGACTGGACCTAATGGTCAGGGGTCCCTTTACCTTTACCCATAATATATTCAATAAATTTCTGGTCATAAGATACTCAATATCAAAAACTGTTTGACCTGCTTAGGATTGCATCAGATGGATGAGCAGCACTTGAAGATCTAGGCATGTATGATGGGCACACTAGTACTTAAAAAAAGTCTCAAAAAGTGATATACCAATGCAAGATTATAGAAAAAGCTAAAGAGAACTGTCAATTGATGACCCAGACCCAGGGTGGGGAATCTTTTCAGCCTAAGAGTAGGCAAGTCTAGAGGCAAAAATTGGCAAAACAAAAAATGTGACTCTTACCTTTGTACAATACAGTGGTACCTTGGTTCTCAAACTTAATCCATTCCGGAAGTCCGTTCAACTCCCAAAACAATTCAAAAACTAAGGCGCGGCTTCCAATTGGCTGCAGGAGCTTCCTGCACTCAAGCGGAAGCTGCATAGGAAGTTCAGCTTCCACAAAACGTTTGCAAACCGGAACACGTACTTCTGGGTTTGCGGGGTTTGGGAGCCGATTTGTTCCACAACTAAACCATTCGAGAACCAAGGTACCACTGTATGCTACATTCCAGCTGTAGAAAAGTTTCTACACCCCCTCCCCATCTCTCTCCAGCCAAGCAAGCAAGACAAATAATCAATGTCCACAGTTCAAACAAAAGCACTTGAGGAGGAAGCAGTGCAGGACCAGTGAGGGGTGGGGCTGGGGAAGAGTGCCAGGGCCAGTTAGAGGTATGGAGGGCTGTATGTGGCTCCAGGTTTGAGGTTCCACACCCATTATAACCATAATATTAAAAAGTTTTCCCCTCTTTTAGTTCCAGATAGTTCCTCTTACTCACACCCTGACAGCTTTCTGGAGATTCCCACTCTCAAAGCGTGATTCAAACAACAGCGTGGTGTCTTCTGGATCTCTTAAGCTGACTGCAGCTGATTTGATGGGCTCTTTCGACCCTCCAACTCGGGAACCAGTGAAACAGGTACCCTTGGTTGCTGCAGAAGAGGAAGCATGGCTATCACTGACTTAGCATTGCAGTTTTGTCTCAATTAGCAGGTATGTGTGCCAATTCTGCAAAACCAATTACTCAGTCCTGAGCAACCATGAACAAATAGCACTGAAAACTGGCTGCAAATAAAAAGATGACTTCAATTTGGCTTCCATTACTATTTTCTAAGAACAGGGCAAAGAACTAAAGATGCTGTAGTTTCACAGCTGCTTTCCCCCATAATGGCTACCAATGGAGCTGTTAGAAACTTTACAAATTTGAGGAAGCTACTATTTTTAGGATTCAATTGTTCACTATTTATAATAATTTCAGGCTGTTTAAAAAATCAGACTTCTGAGTTTACATTTTTCATGCCTGCATTCTTCTTTACTGGAACGGACACTATATGCAATGTACTATATCTTTTATTACAGTTTATTGTCAGTGTATATATGCAAATACCTGGATCTATGACATAGACAACAGTTCCACGATCCTCTCCCATTACTTCTGGAGCCATTTCATTTTCTGTTGGCTGATAGAAAGGTTCAGGTTCAGGAGGAACCCACTCTAACAAAATACACAATGACATTTATTTCCATTGTGGCCTTATTTGTACTTTTAGAAGAAAAAAAATAAGACATTAAATAAGAATTGAAGTATTTCCCCTCAATCTCTGGTTGTGTGACAAGGAAAACAAATAAGTAGGAAAAATGGAATACAAATAAAATTACTTAATCACTTAAACTGAAAACTATATGTGCTGTAACATGAATTAGAGTAGTGATAAGAAAACTTTGGCCTACAAGCCAAATTAGGTCCAGCACTGGTTCTAATTTGGTCTTTGTGGTCTGTCACCTGATGCCATGGTAAGTCATGGAATTAACAGATGGGTGGCCCTGCCCACCTATTAAAGTAGCCATGGGAGATGTCAGGATTTGGCCCACCAGCTGGATCAAGTTCTCCAGCCCTGGGACTCTGGAGAAAGGAAAGCACACAACATACCGTAATTTTCGCTCCATAACACGCACTTTTTTGCTCCTAGAAAGTAAGGGAAAATGCCTGTGCGTGTTAAGGAGCGAATGCACTGGATCGGAGCCGTGGCTGCCGTCAGCCAAGCAAAGCGGGAGCCGCTTGCAGGGCTTTGCACGGCTCTAGCTTTGCTTGCTTTGCAGCCAGGAGGAGGGGGAGGAGCCGAGGAGGAAGGAGGGAAGGAGAGGCATGGCAGCAAAGCGGGCAGCAGCCGCTTACAGGGGAGGAGGGACAGACGGGAGCCATAGCGAGCCGGGAGAAGGCAGGCGATTCAAAGCCAGCAAGCGCTTTTAAAGTAGCCAGCAACAGCTGCTGCAGCCTCAGCTAGCAAAGGTCCCCCCGCTCTCTAAACGGAGCAATGAGGCTGCAGAGGGACAGGAGGGCTTGGATCAGGAAGGATAAAATTTAAGCAACCAGCAGCAAAAAACAACAAAAAAACCAACCTGGAGCTCTGAGCCACGAGCGCAGTGAAAACCAGGAAGTAAAAAAAAAAGGCTATCCCCCGCTTCTCAGCTGTTTTCAGGCAGGGTAGATTTGAGCATTGTCTGGGTCCTAGTGCCCCTACCGCTTTTTTGTGCTCCATTCTATTGCTGCTGGTGGCTGCTTATCACTCAGGCTGCAAGGAGGAGCGCTTTTACACAGCTAATGGCGAATCCCCTGCAATCCAAGTCCTCTTCACTTGCTCAAATCTATTCTGCCTCAAAACAAGGAGCAGAATTAAAAGGCTGCAAACTGTTAAATGGAAAAAACCCCAGCCACAGGGCAAATACCTTAAGTATACCTTTAAAGCAACAGTGTTCTTTCCCTCCCCGCTCAGCTCACAGAAAAGCTCCTTCACCACACACCCCACGCGTGCTCCTTGTCCATTGAGTGCTTTTCCTTCCCTCCCCACTTAAAACGTGGTTACAAAGCACGGATCCACATGGATCCTCAGGATTTTTGCACTGGGTCACCCCAAACTCACCATCAGATCACACGTCTGTGGCCACAGCATGAACCACAAAAATCATACATCTACTGTTTCGTTTAGAATATTTTTTTTCTTGTTTTCCTCCTCTAAAAACTACGTGCGTGTTATGGTCAGGTGCGTGTTATCGAGCGAAAAATACGGTAAAAGCCAAATCAATGAAGGTTCTAAGAGATCGGACTCTTGGGGCTTATTTTATAAACATTTTCATTAGAGACCATAGTAATGATTTGCTGATAATGCCAAGTTATGAGTCACAGCTAACACATAGATTTCCCCCCACAATATTAATTTTATGACCTCATTAACTCATCTTATTAAATAAAAAGTGAGTGACAGTCAATATTAAACTTACACTCCGCCATCTGGTGACAAACACTGAAATGGCAGTGTATTTGGCTTCTCAAATATACTGATACCACTCTTCACACATTATATTTTACATATTTTCCTAACATAAGTATTGATTTCTTTGCTATAACAAGGGAATGTGAGAAATGGTCTTAATTAAATCCTACCACCATAATGGTTATTTAATCCACAATACATTTATAACAACAAATTTGGGAATCTCATCTCCATAGAGCCAACTGAAATAATGGTTTATTTGTTTTAGTCTGGAAGAACTATGAAAAGTGATTGAGTATTATATATTCACATTTTTTATAACTGCCCAGGAGAATCTTAAACTTACATTGTTCATTTTGGAGTGGGTTATCTGGATTTGTGCAAATGAAAAAGTATTCAGTCACAGTCCTTGTATAGCCATAAAACTTTAAAGCAAAACATTATCAACCATGTAAAACATTGATTTCAATCCAAGAAATTACCAATGTGGTGGATATAATCCTTGATCACTTCACATTCTACTGGCCAGAGTGGAGCCAACAGTGAATCATGGGGAAGAGAAAAAAGATTCCGAGGTTCTCTCAAGCGCGGAATACCAGGCCCTTCTGGATGGTCAAACATAAGTTGGTTGCTTTTAAGAAGTGCAGTCTCCATCATAAGTGAACCTGAAAAGGGAAAAGAAATAATACAAAAGAAATTTATTTACAGATACCCAGGAGCCTTGCAGCTATGAAGGCACAATCATACATTTCATTCACAGCAAATCAATCAATATATTTCTCATATCAGGCTTACAGCTTACTTACAGAATGAGTTCTTGCTTGAATTATTTTCTGCTCTACTTTTCTTGTGGAAGTTACCCGGCTTCGACACAGGGCAAGAACTCTTCCAACTTTCAAGAGGCAAACTGGGGCTCTGAGGAACATTTTCATCTGGGGGGAAAATGCTACTATTAATGTGAAAAACTAGTCCAAACTAATATAGGCAAAATCAATTTATTTCTGAGCTTATCGTTATTGTAGTGAGCTACTATACTGGCATGAAAAACCCACTGAATAAAAATTTAAAACTAACATTATAGTACTAGGGCTACTTTTTATATGCCAACAGCATAGCTTGTATGCATAGCTATCAGTGTCATCCAAATAATAAGGAGGGACTATGTCAATCTACAGTGCAATCCTATATACCGGTATGTCTACTCAGAAATAGGTCTCACTGAATTCACTGAAGCCTTACAGAGATCTAACATAACAGATATTAGGCAGACAAATAAATTACCGGTAAGATATTGCATACATATATTCTGAAGTAAATTCCACTAAAGTCAACAAGTGTTGCTAGTTATAACTTGGGTATAAGGGGGAAATTACAATGAGGGGTCTTTTGGCACCTTAAGGACTATTCATTTATTACATTTCTATGCTACACTTCCTCTCAAAGGAGTCCAAGGCAGCAAACAGCAAAACAATGAAAAACATTTAGAAATGTCTGAAAATGTTTTATAGCAATCAGTTACAGAGCCTGATAATGGTAGATAAAATAAAACAAACCGATCTGTATGGGACCCAATCCCAGATTGGGATCAGATTCTTACCTTTGAAATAGCCATAATATTGAAGATGCTGATGTATGAACCTTTCATATGGCTCTTTAAACTGCTAAGGAAGGGAAAATGAGCAATGAACACTATGAGCCTCATTTACCAAAACCACTGCATCCATTGCTATTTATTTACTACATTTACATCCCACCTTTCCTCCAAGGAGCTCGAGGCAGCACACATGGTTCTCACCTCTCCCATTTTATCCTCACAACAACCTGTGAGGTTTAGGCTGAGAAAGTGACTGGCCCAAGGTCACTCAGCAAGTTGCATGGCTGAGTTGGGATTCGAACCCTAGTCCGAAACTCTCTAGCCACTAAGCTACCCTGTAAGTTACAATGCTGAGATAAAGAATAAATTCTCTGAGTGCACAGTATCTCAAAACGAACCAGACACAATCAAAGCGTATCATTCTAATCTCCGCTGAAGAGATCTGAAAGGTTTTCTAGCATCCCATCAATACTTAAAACCAGTTGAGAACTAGGAGGTGACTGACACCATCCAGCCCTGTACATTTTTGGACTGACTTTTGTACTGACCTCAGATGCTGGATCTGCCGGACACATGTCATTCAGCACAACAGCACAACTATCTGATGATGCCTCCTGCAGAGAAGCGGAGAAAAGGTGTTAATAATAATAAAAAAGAAAGCCTATATGAAGTAGCCTCGTCTTCCACTTGGCAAGAACAACAAAGGCTGGTTATTCTGCCAGTCTCCACCCATGAAATTCCCTGCGAAGTCGGTGTGGCGTTATGTGTGTGAGAGAAAGAGTTAATTGTGACAAAGGGACGGGGATATTACGGATAAATAATAAATACGGAAGAGGCGGCTTCAAAGCAGGCTTTTAAAAAGGTGACCTGCGCTTCCTCTGACTCAGGCTAAAAGAAAGATATTCTACCTCAAGCGCCTGGCAACCCTTTCCACCGACCCATACGAAGCTGAAAGGCTTCTATGGCGACACAGCTTTGGTCACTCACAACAAAACGCCCGCAGACGCACACGGGACCGGCGCGCGCGCCTGCTTTTCATAACCGTCGACGGGAGGCCGCTCGCTCGCTCGCTCGCGGGCTGAGCCAATAACATTCGCCCAATCTCGGGACGGGGGGCAGGGAGTGGCAGGACTTGCTGCCTACCAGATATGTGACTCTCGCGCCCGTCCCCGGCCCGCCCCTCAGTGCTCTCAGGAGCGCTCCCCCCGCCCCGGCCGCCTTCTTCCCCTCTTCAGTCTTAGCTACCACTACTCAGAGGAGGGGGGGGGCGGAGGCAGGGTATCCTAGCTACCAGCCACGCCAGAACCAGACAGGTTGGGGGTGGGACTAGCCGTTCATTGGTCCGTCAGTGCGGAGTGGCAGCGGTACAAGCCATTGCTTGAACTAGGACAGCTTCTCGCCTGGTGGGGTTTGGGGCTTTTTTCGTGCAGCTGGGGAGGGACCTCTTGCTTCTGTCCGATCGTTGTCGTTTCACAGTCTTATGTCTCAGTCCGGGGTAGGCTGGGGTCATTTTGGGGGGTAGGCCATCTGTTTGTCTCGAGAGACAATGGAGCAGGTGTATCAGCTTGAATACCTGAGACTTCCGGATATAGAGCAGTAAGCCCCGCTCCACATAATCACAATAGCACACACATGCCATTTGAATGGCAATGCCCATCAACTTTTTTGTGGGGGGAGCTGGCCCCCTCAAATATTTTATTGGGGGGGGGGCTGAAAGGACCTCAGCCCCTAGGAGCTGGCTCCAATGTAATGGAGTGCTGGGGGTGAAGTCATACCGTTGGAAAATCATAGCATTAGCAGCACCGAAGTGACTTCCCCCGGGGGGAGCAAGCCTGGCAGTGGCGTAGCGTGGGTTGCCAGCACCCGGGGCAAGGCAAGTAATTTGCGCCCCCTAACCCGTGGATTTGCGCCCCCTAACCTGTGGATTTGCCCTAACCCCAGATGTTGCGCCCGGTGCGGCCGGCCCCCCCTGCACCCCCCACGCTACGCCACTGAAGCCTGGGCAGTGTGTATGGAGGTCCTAGTCAGCCCAGATGACAAGACTTCGCTGCTGTAGTCCAATGGAAAGTAGAGCAATATTTTTGGCACCAGCTTGGCTGCAAGAGTTGCAAGGTGTACAAGGCACCATTCTACTGCCTTGGAGACTCCACTCCGGATAGAAACACTAGAATTGCAGATTTGGAAGGGACCTAGAGGGTCATCTAGTCCAACCCCCTGCAATGCAGGAATCTCAACGAAAGCACCCACGGGAGAGCAGCTTTTTTTTACTGATTGTGCGGGGGGGGGGCTGCTTCCCTGCCCACACTTGGCTACACCCATGCATTGAGCAAAATAAAGGCAATTACTGAGCTACACAAAAAGGAAATTTGCAGAGAATCGTTTAAAAATAGATGCAGGAAATATTTAAACACTGTAATTTTATTCTGAGTGCTGTTTATTTACATTTCACTTGTAATTACCCTGCAATTATGGAAACTTCCAGCAGAGTGTAGATTAAAGTGAGGAGCAGCAATTATGGTTAGATTGTATTTCTAATTGTAAAAAGACTACCTTCCCATGAGACAGAATCATCCAGGTTTGAACTGCTGTATTACAGAAAAGAGCATTCGGACAGCATGAACGAAAAAGTCAGGACTTTTTGACAAAATCTTGGGAGTCCTTTCTTCCTATGGGTTAGCTTCTATGGAAAAGTTTATTTCCTTCCTTTAAAAAATGAACTTGTAAGAAATTGTTAGATGACAGTAGTAGTAGAAATTTTAAATTTCTTTGTATACTTGTACACTGTGCTTTTCGCTAAAAGAGGAAAATGCTTTAAGTGATTAAAAGTCTTCCATCAGATAACTTTAAATCCCTCTGTATAGCTTCTGTTTACTACTGCCCTCCCTTTCAAAAATATTATTGGAAGAAGGGAATTTCTATAATTCTATGGTTTTACTGAGCAGAGCAGTAGCATGTTTTTGGTATCAACTACTCCCCAACCACCTCTGTGGTAAAAACATCACATTCCCAAGCATATGTCATTGAACTTTACAATTAATACTGCCAATAAAGTCAAAGAAAAATAAGGAAGGTTCTGAAGTATAAAAAGTGATTTTATTAATGTATATGTACAAATTTACAAAGCCAGAAACTGGAGAAATACAAACAGCGTTCAACCATAAACTGCCTTTTCTTTCATTTACAGAAAATCAATACCACTTGATTCCGTTTTTAAAAAAGTAAACAAGGGAAAAGACGCAATACATTGACAGGTTGGATAAATATTCAGCCTGGCTTTAAATGTAGACAAAGACCCTACTTTTGCTGGAACCTGACAAGAGGGGCTCAGAACAAAGTAACAGAGAAATGCTAATTTTCCCTCTCCTCACTGCTAATGGCTTCTAGTACACATCCACCAAGCAGCAGCTACTGAGATGGGGAACAGTGCTGGATAGTGAGCAAGGAAGACCATATCCACCCCATGCGTTCACCAGTGAGCATTCAGAGACAGGAGCAGCTGATGCAGCAATGTGCAGGCACACAGCTGCTGACTGGCTCGTGCTGACTTAAGTGCTGAGCCAGCTACCCCTACCTCTCTTTGCCCACCAATGAAGGCATTAGGAACAACCCACCAGTCAGTGCTCAAGTGCTCAGTGGAGGAAGCTGAAAATTGCTTTCTGTCCCACCTCACTATAGCCACACCAATGAAACTATTAGAATGTTACAGCACCAAAAGTATATTCTAGGTAACATTACAGGGAAAATAGCTAGTCTGATACAGGTTCTAGGACAGAAACAAGAACTGATTCTATGAAATCTAGCAAGAAGAGCAATGCTACCAAAACCAAGGTCCTGGCAAACATTAGGAATGGAACAAGGGGTTCAAATCATGCAGAACTGTGTCTGTTGTGAAAAGAATGTGCATCTTTAATTTGCATGTTCTGTAACACCCAATTGCAAATGGTCATCATCTTGTAGAAATATTTCCAGGAAGTGGAAGAACACTTTTGGGCTTAGCAAGGAAGAGTCAAAATGGCAGGTTCCATTTCCAACTCCACAAAGTGCATTAATTCTGGTACCAGCTCTACCCAGGAACTGGACATGATGGTATTCCACCTTTGTGTGAACTGGGATTAGGAGGAGTTTAAGACAGGAGTGGTCAAGCCTATTCATTATTTCATAAGCCTATTTGCCAAATACACCTCTAAAAGGATTCACAAGTCCACGCAATTTCTCTGTCAGGTCGTTCAACTGAAAAATATGTATCCTCAAAAAGTTACATTTATCCAACAGTAAAAGTTTCTGAACTGTACATGTGTGGTTAAAAAACAAAATAACAACGAAGTTGACTCATGTGCTTGAAGTAGCTTTCCGCCTCTTGAGTCGAGATCGCCAGTCATCAGGCAAAGCCTCAAAATTTGCATTTCTCTCTGCCATACCACTGTGAAGAACAAAACATTAGGATTGCCAGTCAGCAATAGAACTAAAGAAATCAAGATTTCTGATATTTTCCAGACTGTGCCCATTTGTGAAGGCAACCAATCCCCCAAAGAACCTGCTTTCATGTTTACGCAATACCTACTTACAAAGCATGTATCCAACTAGCATGTCCTGCCAGTGCAAAGATTTATGCTTGTACAATGGAAATGTTTCCTTCTCTCCTCCCCTGTCCCTGTCCTCCCCAAATCTTTCTGGAGGGTTGAGTGAACCCTAGAACAGATTTAGCAGGCACATGGGGGGAGGAAGAAGGGAGTTCTGTCGCGCAAACATAAATGCTTGCAATGATGGGATGTGTTACATACCACCCACATTCACTATTATATCAATGCATAGTATGATATAGCACATTAAATCCATTTCTTTTTTTAGCTGCAAGTACATAACATTTCTTTCTCTTCTGCCTCACATACAAGGTTTCCCCCAAGGTTGTGCTGTGACTTCTGGAAATTAGGCCTACAAGATGCCTACTGAAACCCCCATATCCACTTCTGTTCTGCATGTGTTACATTCCCCATCTTCAATTTTGCCCAATGCCCCTGAAAACATGACAAGACTCTCCAATCTTCCTTTAAAAAGGAACAGCTATAATTAGACCAACCTAAACCCTGCAGTGGCACAAGTCACTTAAACCAACAACCATGGGCTGACAGTTCACACTGCACAGAAATCTGGAATCATTTACCTAAAGCAAATCACACTGGGCGATGCAAGGAGTGGGGTGCTATCAAACAGTATCTTACTGTCTCTCTCATACCTGATTAACTGCTGCTGTTTCCATTCCTCAATTCTCTTCTGTGAGATCACGTCCCGATCCTCATCACTTGAGCTGGAGTTTTCTTCCTCATCCAGTTCCCGCTGAATGCTCTGCCACTTCTTTACAAGAGAGGGCATCTTCGTCTTGGTTTTTTTTCTCTGCGGGGAAATATTTAGCATATTACCCTGATGACTAGAGTTAGGCCTCCATGAACTCTTCATTCTCACTCTCGTTAGGGATAAGGTAGGCAAGACAGGAAGGAAAACAATGATTTTACCCATTCTTTTTGCTTAATCTCACATTAGAGTAGATCATAAAAAGTGTTCTGGCTAGCAGAGCACACATCCCAGCACAAAAGCCACAATGGCCCCCAAACAAGAAAACAAACAGAAGCAGCTTGGTATCTCTAAGGTGATTAGGCCTCAGGGGAGTTGGTGGACTCAAAGACCTAAAAAGAGCACCTCCTTCTCTAATGTGCTTCTGAAATCCCAACAGCTTCCAGTTTTGAAGCTGCCAAGTTACTCATTCCGTACCTATTGTCATACTAGATGTATCAGTTCTAAAGTCTAGCAGAGTAAAATAATACACATTTCAACCTATATGTCCAATTTTTGGCATGTACAACGACAGGAAGTACAAATTTAAGTACTCACCTTGCCAGCTCTCCTAAGCTTCTTTGACTTCTCTGGAGGTAGTGTTTTGGGTGGCGGTGGAGACAGTGGAGGAGGTGGTGGAGGTGGCGACAGCTGTTCTGTAGTGCTAGTGGCAGGAGCGGCTCCTTGTGTAGGAACTGGCTGTGTGGTGCTGGCAGAAAGTCCAACAGGCACACTACACTCAGAATAGTTCATGAGTGCCGGCTGTGTTACTCCAAGGAAACTCTGTTGCAAACTCACTCCTGGGGTCTGAGGGCCTGTATACACAAAGGGGAGGGGGATGGGAATTATTTCCAAAACACTTTTCCAGGGATATCAAGCAGCTAAGCAGAAGGATGTGGATGTT